GCCGGTTCATAAACCGGATCCGGAATCTTATATTAAGGTTTCGGTTCCGGTTCATCCATTTTTGAAATCGGAACCGAAATTGTGATCATGCCTAGACAAATATCGATAAAAAGAAAAAAAATTATAAGGTACATTGTTATATCAGTATTGTATAGTATTTTCATGTATTTGATGAAATTATATATACCACTTGAATTTTTTTTTTTTTTTTTTTAAAGTGAGAAATTTAATTCTAAGAAACATATGACATAATAACATTTCGAGGCTTAGTCGCTCTTTCTTCACAAAAAATAAATAATACTCCGTAATAACATATAAAAATTCAGTTACAATTTAACTATCAATTCGAGGCGTAGTATCAATTTATTATTGTAGGGCTATCTGTTCGGTTTGTAGAGTGATATATATTCTTGCAACTTTGTAGAGTGACATACGTATTCTTGCAACTTATTTGTAGAGTGATATATATATAACGTTACTGTAGGGCTATTTGTAGAGTGATATATATATTCTTGCAACTTTTTTGTAGAGTGACTTACGTTATATCAGGGCTATCCGTTCGGTTTGTAAAGTGAAGAGTGATATATATATTCTTGCAACTTTTTTGTAGAGTGACTTACGTTATATCAGGGCTATCCGTTTGGTTTGTAAAGTGATATATATTCTTGCAAGGCTACCCTTTCAGTTTGTAGAGGAGTGATATACAATATTGCAATGCTATCCTTTCAATTTGACCATGGTGTGTGAATGTACTCAAAATTCCTCTTTATTTTTAATATTATAGTATCTCTACAACGCTTTCATTGAGGCTCAGTCCCATAACCTCCTACATAGGAAATATCACTACATACCATCTAAACACAAATTACTTGGCTCCTTTCTTAATTTAAACATATAAAAAGTTACGGAATATTAAGTTCTGTTTATCGTTTATATAATATTAAGGCTCTATTTGACCAAATTTATCGTAAATTTTATACTTTATTTCAAACTATATACTACTCCGTAATAATTAAGTCAGTTCTAAAATAAACTTTTATTTAACTTATTTCAAACGCCATAAAAAGCATATCATAAATGAACGAATACCGTCTTGCTGTCATCCCTACGGGTCTTTCCCCACAAAATGAGTGTTAGCAAATAGTATTCCATTCATTACACTGTTGTCACGAGTCCACTACGGTGGAGCCGTCATCATATCTGACATCCCAAACCCTAATTCCCGCTAACCACCAATCCCTATCACGTTCCTTGTGAGATTCCGGGTTTTAAGTCAACTCTGCCATTTCCGTTCTCTTAAGCTTCTGTGGAACTGACAAGTTTGCCACTCCCAATTTCTGGAAAAAAAGAGGAAGCTTAAATAGTTGTTGATGGAGGGGAATTCTGGCGGCGGAGGCGGCGGAGGCGGCGGCGGAGGAGGAGGAAATGACGTGGAGCTTCTGTGTAAAACGCTGCAGGTGGAGCACAAGCTGTTCTACTTCGATCTCAAGGAGAATCCGCGCGGACGCTACCTCAAGATCTCCGAGAAGACCTCCGCCACAAGGTCCACCATCATCGTACCCTCCAACGGCATCTCGTGGTTCCTCGATCTCTTCAATTACTATGTCAATTCCGACGACCAGGACTTCCTGAGCAAAGAACTCCAGCTTGACTCCAAGGCACCACTGCTTTTTACTCTGCAATTTTGTGCTTTCATTCATCTTTTGTTGACTAACATTATAGTTCCCCTTCTTGCAGGTCTTTTATTTTGATATTGGTGAGAATAGAAGGGGCCGCTTTCTGAAGGTTGACTATATTCTCCTTTGCTATTACTCCATAGTTGTTTATATAGCTTAAGATTTTAAAATTTTTAAAGAATTCCAGCCGACCATAGTTGCAGAAGAATATGGCATAAGTTTGATTATGTTCAACTATTTGGGAATTAACCTTCAATTGTCAAAAGCTAGTACTTATCTTTATGTATTCAATTCACTTATAATTGGTTGTCTACAGAAAATTGCAACTTATAGAACACTAGCTATGTGAAAGGTAGGGTGCTTTTTATCTTTCTTGAAAATTAAGGTAATCAGTTTGTGATGTTTGGATATAGGTGTACTGTATAATTTTTAGAATGTTTTGCTAAGCCACCTGACCTGAAAGAAATAGGTGGAGATAGATCTAAAGCACAGGGCACTGTTCTATTAAATATAGATATAACTTTATAGTGTGAAGGAGCTAGTTCATAGATCCTCAGATAATAGAATATTTTCTATGTCAGGATCCAATGAGTTTACTTTCCTAGTGGACCATAATTCTTTTATAAAAGCCAAAACCTTTTTCAATTATATATGAATGGAAAAGATCAATTGGGGGTAATCAATGATGACTTTTTGGGTTTAACAAAAGAAATACCTAGCATATTAAAGATCTCCTCAAGTTTGACTTTGTGTTGGGGACAGGCTTACTTTTGGGGTTAAGATTTTTGCTTTGCCTTAGCAAGATTAAAGGAAGTTCGAGGCAAGTGGGTGTCAAAACCTTGCCATTTTCCTCAGGGTTGTTCATCCATTGAGGTTAGATGGGATGCGTTGTTAGAGAAGCAGAAGGTGATTTCATTGTAGCTCGGTTTCCCAAACATCACTGTATCATAAGTTGCTTCGTCTTCTTAAATGTTTGCCCTACATTTAGATTTTGATTCTTCTGGGTCTCAAAATGATGTCCAAATATTCATAAATTAATTTTTATGTTGTTCCCTATATGATCCCAAAATGTAAATCTAGGAGATATATTTGTCACCTGCCATTGGTGTTAATATGAAAATAGGTGTGTCAATATTTCATAAAGCATCAAAATAAAGGAGTTTTGTATACTCTCCAAAATCACGGTGGTAGTGTAATTGAGATAACCTTCATGGTAGATTTCTGGATTTACCCACTTTATTTACTAAAACATTTGATCCTCTATTATATGGTTCTGAATGTTGACCATAATTTGTTTGCGTATAGGTATCTGAAGCTTCAGTTAGCAGAAACCGCAGTACCATCATTGTTCCTGTAGGGAGTGCCGGGGGTGAGGGTTGGGCAGCATTTAGGAATATTTTGGCTGAAATAAATGAAGCCTCAAGGCTTTTCACCCTGCCAAATGAGGTATTTATTTTACTTGAGTTACTTTCTCTCACAGGCCTGTTTCCTTTTGGTTCATCACTAACCGAATTTGTCTTCTTTTTGTTTGATAAAGCAGCAAACTTCTGAAACTCCAGATCGGTTAGGACTTTCAGATGATGTAGGGGCTGGTTTCATATCCAGCCACAGCTCCCAACCTACTCCATCGGCTGACTTGAATGTAGAACGCACAATTGATTTGCCACCACCTGAGGATGTTAATAATTTAGGGATTTCTAAAGTTATCAGGGTTGATCAGAAGAGATTCTTCTTTGATCTTGGCAACAACAACAGGGGCCACTTCTTAAAAATATCTGAGGTTTGATTTCTTACCAAAAAGTAAATGTTTGTGAGTGTAAACTTTACATAGGTGAAAGTTATGATGCCATGACAAAGTACAACTTCCTGTACATGGTGCTGGTACCATGTCGGATACAATCATGTCTCTGGCTGGCATTGTAATTTTCTTTCATTTACTGTGGTCTTAGTTGTTTGTTTCACATATCTCTCATCAAAGGATAAATACAGGTGTCCGGTCCTGATCGATCATCCATCATTCTCCCATTGTCGGGGCTGAAACAGTTCTATGAAATGGTGGGCCACTTCGTGGACATCACCAAGGACAGGATTGAAGGAATGACTGGTGCAAACGTTCGGACAGTGGACTCTCCTCAGAGATGAACACTGACAACCTGAAGGTGAACCCAGAAGCCCATTTTGGGGCATTCGAACTCATTTTCTGCAGTGGATCAGGTGTGCGATTGTGTTGATTTTGTCTTTAGCATTGTTCATTGGAAGTTGAATAAACTGGCTGTTTTGAGCAAGAGAGAGAATAGCAAACCAATTGTCAAGTGTGAATGGAGGGACAATAAGTAATAAACTAGTAACTCTTGTAATTCCTAGTGTTGAAAAAGGTTCCTTTGTATTACTTCCCCACCCCCCTGTCAATTTTGATTCATTGCATGCTTTCACTGCTAGGCTGCTAGGGAACAGTGTGCACCAAACATATACTTTTGTAAGGGATTCTACCTTGTCAATCTAATAATAGGTTGTTTGCTTTGATTAACATCGGTCTGTGCAGCATTGATGATTTGATGGTAGCGTGCCATTCCATATGTGAAAGTCCTTGTTGGTCGCTTTACTTCAAAAGATAGTAAAACGATTTGCGGGTATTTATTTATTTATATTTATCAACTTAAATTACTTTTATTTTGCTTTCCAAATTAGATTGTGTATATACAAACAATAATTTCAATAATTATTTTATTTCAATTTTGATATCACTTTTGATTTCAATACCTATGTTCCAACGAAATGCCTCTAAAATCTTCTAGACAATTAGTCACTCAAGGACTTAGTTAAGGGCTGTCTAGCCGTCTAGGTCACCTTGCACTGAACTTAAAAACAAAATTAGGCTTAACCCAAAAGTCTTCGCACTTGAAAAAAGTCTAATCACTACAAAATTCAAGATTCAATCATCCAATGTTAGAATTGCATTCACAACCTATTACCAACTATCCCTTAATACTTTTAAAAAAAAAATTAATACACAATTTAATTATGGATTATAATAATTTTTTCCGGACGGTTAGAATAGACTTTATCGAGAAAAATCGTTATAAATGATAACTAAATTAAGTAAAATCATTATAGTCAATGAGAAATTATCAAAACAGAGGACTTAACTAGATAAAATTATCAAAGTCCAAGACTCACAAAAAAGCGTTTAGAATTAAATCGACAAAATCAGAATAAGGACTAAATTTGATATTAACTTTTCAAAAAATGTATAGTGTGGTTGGGAATGCAGAATTCTTAGTTAATGGATGCGAAACCCTTTACTTTTGTGAAAAAATAAAATGTATGACAAAATGGTGTTTTTAGTTTCACTAATTGTGTTGCTTCAACTCAGTTTTACGATATAACCAAACCACAAAACTGCTACTTTTCTATTACAAAATTGGCATAAAAAACATCTCTGAACCTGACAACAAAAGCTTCACTATCATATGTTACCCAACAAAATTTAAGACAACAGTATTTCTGGTCCAACATCATCACAAAGATGTTGACAAAGAACCCCTAGCTTCCAGAACATATAAAGGTTCCATCGGAAACTCACATCGAAATTGGTTATAACAATTTCATAGTTTTGGACAGGCGTGTTCGTGTCACCACTAGGATGTCATTTGGAGATGAAATATCCTGTTGAGGAAACACAATGAAGTAAGACTTTCAATAGATTCATAATTCATTTGCATCCAACAAAACAACAACCAATTGCGATATGAGACCACAATGAAAGAAATGTGTATATGATGTGATGATTATGGCTAATCCAATATATTCCGGCATACAATAACTCAGAAACTCTAAAATAGCAATGACAATGCTCTAATATCGCTCTGCTGATTCATTAATATCATTCACATTTAGTGGAGCGCAGTTCCTTTCCTCGAATAAGTTTTCGTGGCTTTTCTCTCTTCTTTTCTTCACTCGTTCCTCTTCCACAAGGCATGCATTATATATTGAACACAAAGAGGGAAATGCAAGAAAGTACAGTTCTAGGGGCAGCTGAAATGCAGATAGCAACAATATTATAAGACCAAAGAGGCTAGTATTTTCGTCTCACCATGTCCTCAAATGTGGTTCCTTCAGCGTTGTTAGTTTCCGAATTAGCATCCTAGTAAGTTCATAAAAAGGAATCAGAGACATGAAATAAAATTGTAAATTTTGGTTAGATCTTCATTACAACTACGGATTACAGTATATTGACACTGCTAAACTAACAGGCACAATGCACTAGCAGGCAATACAAATTCATCTATCAGCTGTCTACATAGCCTAGAGAGGACTTAGTTGAATCAGGAATGGCAATACAAACGTAAATCTAAAGCATTATGGCCATTGCACAGATCAGGAGTGATGCACAAAAGAAACCCGATGTATTCTATTCATTTTTATTGGATTTGAACATCATCATCATGACATTAATGCATTAAACATTTACAAGTTCTATAGAGCATCTCAATTTAAAGTACATCTTATTCAATTCCAGAATTGACAGTAGCTTTTACCCAAATCAATTACGCCAAAATTAATGCTAGAAGACAAATTTCCTAAGGAAAGATGCAACAATGTAAATGCAAATTAATAACCTCAAGTAGAGCCTCATACCTTTATTTTTCCTCTCAAAGCCTGGGTTAAGGTTGAGATTGTTCCACAAAGTCTGGCTTCTGCAGCTAATGAGTTAACTATTTCATTTAGTGATTTCAATTCCTCGTGGAATTCTGGATGGAGAACCAGAGTAGAAAAGTGCTCATCCAGTACCAAACCTAGGCATATAACAATGTCTTCAACTTTAGGAATCCAATCACAAGCTTTCAACCCCAAAACGGAGGATGCCTCGGGACAAGAACTCACCGATGGAAACCTCTCATACTTCTGCAACCACTTCCTCAAGTATCTAACCAAATTCATCATCTCTGAACCATTTAATTTACTGATACAAGCCGCCAATATCACTTCATCATGGTTCCGTGACGATAGCAGATAATGCAAACACAACTCAGTTACAGAGAACCCATCATAAGCTATCATGAACAATAGAGAAGCATCCCTCACTAACATCAATCTCTTCCTGAGATTCTTATCCTTCACCTTTTCAATTGCCAACAGTGCTTGGCCATCACACTCCTTCAACCTTTGAATGGCCAACAATGCTTGGCTTTCCCACTCTTTCCTGACACTAGCAATACTATTATAACCATCTCTAGGCAGTGAAAGAAAATACTTCAAAATGCACATAACATCATTAGCTTGAAGATCTGAAAGATGCTTCACACACAAAACAATTAAGTCTGACCTCTTCTTTTCAATCAAATTACTAACTAAACTCGAAAAGCATGAATGCTCCACAAGCCCATTAACAATAAAACTTTCTAAAACCTCCCAGCATTCCACAACAATACAAGCCTCCAACACCAGCCCCTTCACATCCCTACCCATGAATAGCCCTGACTTTCCGACTAATTTACCAACATAACCTATATCGGACTGATTAATATTATCTCCAGTTCCCAATTTCCCAGCAATGTTCTCAAGATATGAACTGAGAATCTTCAAAAACTCATCTTGCTTCAATGTGTTAGGTTTTCTGAGTTCCTTTTTCAGTTCTTTGAAGAAACATTGTCCTAGCTCAATTATTTCACTGTCAGTTTTTGAGATTGTCCACTCGCTAGCTCGTTTAACTAGGAAGTCATCCTTTGCATCATGGCCTTGGGTTTTTAGTTCAAGCATAACAGGTTCAGGGTTCAGGACGATTGGGTAACTAAGGTCAGGCTCATGTTGGTTTGTCTCAGCTGAAGCTTTGGTGATTAGTTCCAGTAGAGACATCAGTCCTGGATAACAAATAGCTGTCACTGCAAAAATGAAAATAGCATGTCAGCTTGTAATACTAATTTTTTAAAAAATATATATATACTGAACATAAAAATCTTAAACTAAATAAATTTTCTGTAGGCTTGCAAAAACTACTGTAGGTTGTACACATTCACTGGTAATTGCAAGAAAATCAAAAGTTAAAGGATAATAATTATAGGTATTCATTGTAGAAAATTGCAATTAGTCTAATGCATTGACTAAACTTTTTAAGCCAAAGAATAAGCTAAGCCAAACACCAAACAAAGAAAAGGCTTTTAAAGCAATATAAGAGGTAATAAACCTATTTTCCAAGAAGCTCCAAAGTAAGGTGTCCCTTAAAAAAACTAAAACTAAAACCTCTCTTTCAGTAAGCTTAAGTCTGGGAAAACAACTAAACAAGCACCAACTCAATTCCAAACCATTAAACAACCCAAAAACACCTCTAAAATCACTTGTACACAACGTGAAATCAAGATACAGAAACAATCCATTCCATTTGTCCAAGCATTTCGAGTTCAAGTTTCTTATACCTAAAATCACTTGTTACAGTTTCCTGGATATGCTGCACCCTTAACAGGATAATCAAAGTGCATGTAGCGAGAGCTTGGAATGCAAAAACTATAAACTTCTTAGCACAAAGTGCAACAAATCAACAACGCACAGATAATGCCGCAAAACAGTTTTCAATAGCGTGATTATGCAAATATAACTAACCAAAAGTAAACAAATTCATCATCATCCAAAAATCTTCCTGCTGGTTGGAGTAATAACACAATTAAACACTTAATCAAAAGCGCATACATTCATAAGTTCCAGAGCATAGAGAGGCAGAAATCGAGATTCCAGAGTGCATACGTCGAATTTTTATTCGTAAAACAAATAAAGGATGCTGGACTTGCAGCGCGCCTAGAATAATGAAAACTCAAAAAAGATGAAAAGGAAGAAGAAATAACGACGAGTGTTCGACGAAGGAGAAACAAAAGGAGATTCAAAGAGAGTTCATACCTGGGAGAAAGAAGACTGCTGAAGTTCTGAGAATGCACGTCCTGACGTTCGGCTGCTGGAGGAAGCGAACAAGCGAATTTCCTCCTTTAGCCCTTTTAGCCCTAATCTATACCAGGCTTTTTTCTTTTCTTTTTATTTCTCTTTTACTTTTTTATATGTTTAATGATTTTAAGTTTTTTAACATTATATGTGATTATAATTAAAATATTATTTTGTCAATATTATTGGTTGAGTGGCATCAAGTTATTGTTTTATATTTATTGGGAGATCATGGGTTCGAGCTTTAGTGAAAATGATATTTAATATTTAAAAAATTAAAATATTAAAAAATCCACCAAATGATTGTACGTTTAAAATTTATAAGATTTTTTCTATTTATATTTTAATATAGTACGTCATATAATATAAGTATTTAAAAAATTATAAGTTAACTTATGGACTGGCTCACCAGGCACGTTAATTTGTATGGGACGAATTAACACCAAATAAGTTAAGTTTGTGGGTTTAGTGATCAGCCCACTGTCCATCAATGTCCACAAAATTTCTAACTTGTCACGTGTATGACATAATAGGACGAGTTAATCCACATTAAGACTTTAGTAATATAGACTATTTGAAGTAGTTATAAATAGTCATTGCATATGTAAATAATATTGACTATTTAATGTTGATAAATTTTAATAGTTATCGCATATGTAAATAAAAGATTGAATCTATGTAGCAAAGTGAATATAGTGTAAATGAAAGATTGAATTTATGTAGCATAAAGTATCTTACATAAAAATACAATTTACCTATTAGGTAATAAGCGCGACAGTTTTGGATAATAACTATGAATTTTCTTCATCATTTTAAAAAAAATATAAATTAAATATTAAATTTAATTTTTGATTTCGTTAAGCCTCATCAAGGACCTTTTGTTCCCTTGACGTTTTTGTAATTCTCCTTAAGAAAAGGTTCAAGATCAAATAGAGTCAATAATAATTACTAATAATTTAAAAAAAAAAAAAGTAATTACTTTGTAATAGAGTTTAGAATACTAAAATAAAATCTCATTAAAAGAGTAATAGAAGTTATGTATGTATTAGATAAACATTATTCAAGTATATTATAGTCTGCATATACATAAGACAAATAAATCACACTAAAGAAATCATGTATAACAAACTTAATTAAGAAGATATTACTAGAATTGAACTCGGGACAGTTACAAAGAACAACATTGACCAGAGACAGAAGATCATGCATGATACAAATTACAAACAAGATTCATAACACTAAACCTTGGGCTTCAATAAACTTGAAAGGTTACAAAGTTCTTTAACTTACACAAGATGACTAGAAACAGAGCCATGTCTATATGTTTATTACCCTGGAGAAATATTTTACACTGCAGCTATGAAATATGGAGGGATAACAGCATTCAAACTGAGGCAACAAGAGAATCATCATCCCTTACACCAGATTTAATATCCAAGTTCCTTGTTGATGGCATTCCTGCAGTTACATCTTCTTCAATCCCGCACTCATTTGTTCCTCGGACGATCTGGAAGTACCCATCCTGCCAAGGACAACGACGGAACACATCTCATAAAGAAGCTCGTTACAACAATAAAACATATCTATATAAGCTCTGTTTGGCAGAACTTATTTAGGAGTTTATAGCTTATCTTAAGCTACTAATAAGCTACAAGCTCTGTTTGGTAATGTTCCTAAAATAAGCTAGTAGCTTCAAATAAGAGCTTATTTTGAAAAGCTATCTAAAGAAGCGTTTCAAAAATAAGCTAGGAGCTTCTACTAGCTTTTACTCACTATTAGCTTAAACTTTGAATAAAAGACCAAACACATCCTTCTACTCTTATTTACTTCTATAACTTTTTCATCACTTGGGAAGTAAAGATGTGTAATACATGCATACACACACATATACACACGCATACATACATATACATACATAGTCTCACTATCGGTTTAAACTTTTAGTTGAGACAGAACACGTTATTCAGTAAAGGAGGAGCCTTATTCTAAGAAGTAAATTTATTTTTGTGTGTGTGTGTAATAGAGGTTGAACTTACATCGCCCCAGCTTCTGTTCCACTGATTAGCGAGGAGCTGTAACAAACATTTCAGAAGATAAGATTTTAATGAGAAGTCGAAATTAGGATTTGAAAGCGACAATTGAAACTTTCTGATATGTATATATATACCCAATAGTCTTCTCCATCCTCAGAAGTTCCCCATCCTATGAGCTTAACAGCGTGTCCTCCCATTACACCGCCTGTGACATGCTTGTAGACTCCCGATTTGTAATGTGCAAAATCCTGTATTCGATCAAACATTACACAGTGAAACGAGTAGAAATGGACAGAGGTAATAATAATCGTAGGGGTAACGAAACAGTGAAAGAGAACGAAAGATGAGCGATTTTGGCCTTCCTAGACCTGCTCTGCTGTTCAATATGTTTTCCAGGATATAATCGTACTAATAGGGATCAGAACTTTCAATTCCATAACCATTTACCTCGTAGACAGTAAAGGAGACCTCAACGGGGCCATTTTTATAAACTTCTGCCATGATGCTGTGTTGATCAGAGCTCACTCGGTATGCATTAACGCTAAAATGTTTGGATTCCGACCAAAGCAGATTCTCCTTTACACATTTCTTCTCGCATGCAGGAGTGGGATATGATGGCTCACAACCGGGATGGGCACATCCGGTTTGGTCAAAGTAAGGGTCGCACTGTAAGAAGAAGGTTGTTTAGTTCTCGAGCATACACATCTTCCTTTATGGAGGAATGATTAAGGCAAACGACTTTGATAAAGTTCAAAATTACTCATCAATAGCAATTGATAATAGCGAGTTATTACATGGTACAAAAGCGCAATATTTACCTCTGAAGTAACAACACCAGTACGCGTAAAGTATTGCCAAGCTGCTATAGGATAACCGCCATCACAACCTTCACCGCACATAAAGCCACAGCACGCTAAGAGGTCATTGACAGATAGAGTCACGTTCTGTGTCAAATACATTTTTATTTTTAAAGTCATTATCCTCGTGATTTAAATGAAAACCAGTAAGTTTTTGAGAGCTGAAATGAACTTACTGTCCCATAATGAATGCAAAACCGGTCAGTTAATGACTCAACTGCACCAAACGCCCAGCAAGAACCGCAGTGTCCCTGATCTATAAGGTCGAACAGATCAAATGCTAAGAATTAGTGTCCTTTTCGAAAGATAACAATTCAATAGGTCCAACCAAGAAACTGACCAAGAATATCTGCAATGGAGACACACTGAGGCCAAGCAGTCCGTGCATCAAAAGTTTTGGGTAATTCTATTTGTTTGTCATGTGTAGCTACGGGAGTTCTCTTCAATAGAGACTTGGGTGCCTTTTTAGCTCCAAGGAGACGCTTAAATTGGCTAACCTGTAAACCAGGGGCACATATTACATGATAGGGCGAGAGACTATGACATAAGGGGGGAAACGAACTTATGTAGGCCAAAAATAAGTAAACATCATCCAGCAATGTATGAAACTAACAGTGAAGTCTGAGAATCGAGGGTTCATGTCAGCTTTCCATCCTGCTTCCGGATTTTCATTAACAGTTTTAACGATTTCATCCTGCAGAATAATTTCCATAAAAATCTCTCAATTCCTACAGTCTGAATAAGGAATCATTTTGGCCGTTACTTCTTCTCAGACACAAGCATACCTGAAGGATCTTTGGGTCAACTTCACTCTGTGTTACTGGCTTCACTGCTACAACCTGAGTCCATGCCCATAATCAGAATGTATAATCAAGTGCAGATCTTGTATAAATTCAGTTTATATGTGTCAAAGGCAACTGCTTTTACTTCACATAACATTTATTGGCTTATTGCAAAAACATATATAATAGTTTAATGCATATCAGGCTAAACAAGGGCAGGAAGTGAAATTCTGCTTCTGTAAACTTCAAATTTAAACCATTGGGGCAAAATTTTCATAACTCTCAAACCTCACTGGATAATGAGATTAAAGATCATACTTTTATTACATCTTTCACATGTTGGAAGACATTTTCTTTTTTTAGTGACAAGGAAAACTCCAGTACGAGGACGTGCACTAGTAAACCTTGCCTTGTGACCTTAGTCAGCAAAGGATCCCAATAAGGTAAACCAGTTTAGATTGTTCATAACTGATCGGCTCAAAACAAGAAGGTCAATAGGTCATTCCTTCTTATAGTTGAATTTGTAACCTTGTAGCCTAAGCAACTTGGTTGGGGTTCAGGCATTTTCTTGAAAACAGGACTGACACGACCTGTTTTACATTACTTAAGCCAATAATCTGTAATCATAAGCTCTAGGTCATTAGCAAATCAACAAATTTTCTTGCAAATAGACCTATCATCACCCATATTACATTATTTAATCCATGAATCTGTAATCATAAGCTGTTAAGTTTAGGCCTTTAGCAAACAGGACTTGTATGGTAAGCAGTAAACAGTATATTCATTTATGAAACCTGCTTTATATGAAACAACCCATGTTCCCAATCAGACTATGAATCAAATGGAAAATTGAGAGGAACTCTAATCACAAGGTCACAAATCAAGTTTACACTACACACAAATTCGAGTGAATAGTGATTGCGACTTTTCTCATCACTAAAAAGACCATCAAACTGAAACTGCCCTAAGTTGATTGATAAGCTCAGTACAGAGGATCATCAAAGAAAGCATTTTTAACCAGAGATCTGCAGAAAAATATGGGAGTTCAGCCATTGAGGAAGAGAGAAGAAACCACAGACCTGCAAGATAAGCAAGGAGATGGCTCCGATGAGCAGAAGGGTCTTGATCGTCTCCATTTTTTTCTTGTTTCTTAGCTAATTGTTCAATGTTCTGGTCAATACTTATACATGAATTGGGCAGTCTCGGAAGTCGTAAAGGGCACCCATTCCTAGGAAGACAGGTGGCGGGCAATGACAGGGTTGGATCCCACAGTTCCGGATCTGACGGCCATGAGTCGATAACGTCACAACGTTGCTCCATACTCTGGAATTACAGAAATAATATCTCCATGTCAGTTCAAAAGAAATAAAAAAATATCTGCCTCAAAATAATTTTTTGCTTACATAAATAATTTAGGGGAAAAATATCTTATAAAATATAATTCAAGAAAAGAAGTACTACGTATCTTTTTTTAAGAAAAATTGTAAAAAATGTACCTCTATAATATGAATTATCAATATCATTCCTGGATGATGAGTGTGGTAAATGTTGCCCCTCAATTATTAAAATGGTGCACATATAGCCCCTCCCGTAACAGACATTTGGTTCTCCACCGATGTCTATCACTGGTACTTCCAATCGAAGGAGGATAAAAACAACTAAATTACATATTTACTCCGAATTAACGGTGCCGTACACTAACGAGGAACCACATGTCCGTTACGGGAGGGGCTATATGTGCACCGTTTTGATAATTAAGGGGCAACATACATTTACATCACTCTTAATTTAGGGGTGATATTGATAATTGACATATTACAGAATGACATTTTTTACAATTTTTCCTTTTTTTCTATAACGTGCCAGTCGGAGCGTGCACTGCACGCACCCGATTGGGCATTGTATGGGCATTGTATGTGTGCAAAACGCGCTCAACTACACCTATTTTCTCTACTTTCTCTCTTGCAACTTGCAAGACCCACAAAAAACTAATATTGTCGACATTATCAAATATTCTCTCACCTCCACATAGGTTTTATTATCCTAAAAAATTAAGCACAAACCAGTACTGTGGTTGATCTAATATGTTTAACGTGATTTAATTTGTATGTGCGATTTAAATGCTATTACAGTTGAACATGGTAATAGACACCTACAAATAGTAATTGCGTGTTTTATTCAAAATTGTTGTTTTTTTTTTTTTTTTTTTTTAGTTTCAATTAATTTTATTTTTAATACATACGGAGTTAAAGAAATTGTTTCATATATAATACGATGAGTAGGTGACAGTATAGATATATATGTGTGATAAAATTTTATAATATTGATGGTACGTAATTAATCTAATGGATAATAGTGAGAAATAATTATATTATTTCTGAATACAAATTTCTATAATATTAGTACACTGGTTAAGTGTTGGATCCTCTTCTCAAATGCTATCCAAGTACATTAAAAAATAACAAAGTTTAATTACATGATAAAGCATTCAAAAAAATGACATGATAAAGACTCACCGCCATCACATATTTATATCTATCATGTTTATGGTAGAGATGATCACGGTTCAGTTCAAATCGTACACAGTAGAAATTGAATCTAAACCGAAGCCATCCATACGGTTCTGGTTATGGTTAAAAAATGGAACCCATAAAGTTTCGGTTCTAGCTTGCTAAAATCAGGAACAAGAAACGTCGGTTCCGGTTCTAAATTGAAAAATAAAAGAAAAAAAAAACTAGGAACATGCAATTCTGTAAAGCTTTAAAGGATGTTGAGAATGAACTCATGAACTCTTTCTTCTTCGTTTACTTCTTTTATTATTTTTTACTTGTTTTTAAATTTGATTTTTTGTGTTCAATAGTACTTTTAATGAAGTTTCTAAATATATAAAATTTGTGTATTAATATTAAACTTAATATTATAAAAAATTAAATTAAAAATAACTTCAGTTAAGTTTTATTAACCGAATCAGACACATAAAATGGGACAAAGGAAAGTAATACTTAAGTTGAAGCTACAAAATGCAATCAAAAGAAAATGCTAACTAAAAGAACATTCATAAAATAAAATAAAATAAAATAAAAAGAAAAAAAGAACATTCATACTAGAATAGTACCAACAAACCTAAATTATAAAATCATGATTACATGCTTACATCTTAATATTTATATTCCTTGTATATTACATATTTAAAACTAAATGAATATAAATATATTATATTAATTAAATATATAACCAATTTTTAAACATTTTATAATGAAAAAATTAATCATTAAAATTATAACTTTTTAAAAATAGAAAATAGAACCCAAAATATATATATATATATATATATATATATATATATATATATATATATATATATATATATATATAATTCAAAACCAGTCCGTTTCAATTTCAATTTGTAGTTTCCTGGACAATTCAGAATTGAAATTAAACTAAAATCGGAACCAAACTGCAGACGGAGTAAAATGACTCTTTCTTCTTTTAAAAATGTTAAATTTCTAATTATGATATAAGATGTAAATCGCAAATCTTAATCTTTTTATTCAAATATTATCTACTGAACTAATAAATTAAGTCCGTAGGCTAAGAAATACTAATTTTGCCAACAAGTTTCATTAAATATGCATAAGAAACACTACATTCTCGGATCTTCGTCCTGGAATATCAATCCTTTGCACTCCAACTGCTACATATATGTTAGTGAGACAGTTTTGGAAGTTGTAATTGCAGAGTTGGAGTTTCCCAAAATATACTCCATATGAATCAGGATTCTCTAATAATCATGTACCAAAATAGACAGAAGATTCATGCATTGGGTTTAGGTTGGCACCAAGTGGTTGGTTTTAGACATTGGCACGTTTGAAGCAAGCTTGTAGGATTGTCCAACAAACCAGCACCGCAAAAGCAATGACTCTTGCTGGATAGCCTTGGTCGAGTGCACGCAACTGTTGTCCATGCAATATTTTATTCAAGAAAATGATCAAATAGACCCTCGAACATTTATTAAAGGGTCAATTAGCCCCTTCAACTTGTTAAATGTGCAATTACATCCATAAACAATACATTTCGATGCAATGAAGTCCAAATATAAGTAAATAACCTGCTATCATAGGTCATTGAAGATCCGATTATTTTCCGTCGCAAAAAAATGACCGGCGACCGTCGACCGGTCGTCGGTCACGGAGAAGTCAACCATTGGTTGCCTTCTCCGACGAGAAGGCCACCACTGATCTGGGTTAACTGCCTTCTCGACCGGAGAAGGTGACCACAGTGGTCACCGGAGTCCGTGACCAGCGAACAGTCGACGGTCACTTTTTTGCCTGAAAATATGTTGGAAAATGGCCGGATCTTCAATCACCTATGATAGTAGGTCATTTATTTGTATTTGGGCTTCTGAGTGATGTTATATCTGAGTGCTGCACTATGTTTACTTCCTAGTGTGTTATCTGTGTGACTGTTGTAAGTCAAGCACGCCATTATAATTACTTTCAAGTGGGTTACCCATTTCGGATCGTTGTAAGTCAAATACGCTTAATCACATAGTTATTTATATTCTATTTAAAACCAATTGGTAATAATAAGTAGGTAGACATTAACCATTTAGCAACACCCCTCTATAATAAGTCATAATGCACGCCACATCTCCAATCGAGAAAGGACTGAACTCGGCTAACTCGAACACGCCCAACAAGTGATGTCCAATGTTGTTTCGTATTATGATGGAAAATTGTTGTTGGCACGTTGAAGTAACATGTGCATGACAAGTATCTTATGAACCAGTGACATTGTATTTAAACTTTTTGATTAACAAACTTGTGATTTAAGTAAAAAGAGGTTGAATATTTTTAAGATGTATCTTTAAATTCAAATATGAAAAACAAAATTCTATATACATAATTCGAGCTATATCTATATTAGTCTCACAATAGTTGGATATAAAAAATGTATATGTTGAGGTTATAATATATGAACAAATGTATATGTTGAGGTTATAATATATGAACTAGTGAATCAATTTGGGTAGCCTGTTAGCATAATAGACAAAATAAACATGTCTATTGAACACTCTTAGCGCCAGCTAGACTTACATAGTTACATCATCAGACTAGTTAGAACATAACTAAATTAAATGTAATTACGTGTATAAATAGTTTGCCTTTGTACCTAAATCTAACAGACTAACACTTGTAAACTTTGAGCATTATACTTTGTTCATCTCCGCAAGACTCTCTTACATTTAAAAATAAATTTTACTCACATATCATTATATTTATAATTTACTCAAAATATTTTCTTTATATTCCAAAAGTTTGACACTAAAATAATAGTCGTGGATGAAAATTGGTACTAAAATATTAGTCGTGAATGAAAATTGGTAAAAATATAATTAAATATGTAGACTAAAATTATCATTTTACTAATATTTGTGAGACTAAAATTGATATTTACTCTAAAAAGAATTTATAAAATTCTAGATAATGTTATCCAAATCAAAGAAAATTATATGCTTTTAGACTTTTAGTCATGCTCGGCATGCTGAATGGGACCAATTGTTAGAAACATGAATCAACTCAAGAGCAATAATTGGTGAGATAATAATGATTAAATAAGTCATTTAATTATTCAAGAAAATTTAATTACTCATCCTCAAAAGACCTACTAACAAATCCTTGAACTTGGAAAGAAAAAATGCATTGACATATATTTACTTCCTGGAATTTTTTATGCGCAGTAAACAAAAATCAATATTTGATAGTATTACTCTTTATTAAAATTTTAGTTTTATTTATATTTTGAATTTTAGATATTTATATTATTGTATAATAATAATAATAATGTAAACCATTTTTTATAAATTTGATATTTATATTTAAAAAAATAACTTATATAGTATTTCAATATATAATGTATATATATTATTACTATTGAAGAAGATAAATAAATATATGGTGGATGTATGTGATATCGTAACAATTATTAAAAAAAAATATAACATAAATTATAACGTTAGAAGTATTTTTGATCAAAATATTATTGTATAGTAGTTATAATTTTTTAAAGTTAGATTATTATCTATTGATATCGCGTCATCACGTGATACACACCTACATGCACTTTCCCTTTCTCTTTCATGGGTGAATATATCATATATTTAAAATTATGAATTTTAAGTTAGGCAGCCTGGCAGCCAAGGCAGCCACATGCAGAAGAAATTTTTTGTTTTTAAAATTCTTGGTGAGTTCCTTTAAGTTGATTGAAGATTGGATTTGGTTCGTTCAAAATTGGAAGAGAACGAGGATAATTTCTTTTAAATGTTGAGTTGGGTTGGAAGTCATAGTGATTTGAATGATTCATTAGACAAATAACCGTTAAGTAACAAATATCATATTTCATTCATTGATTTATTCATATGTGAAATTGTGAATAAAAGAGTTGTATTTTTAATGTTTAAATCTGAATGAAGTAGATTATGTTGCCCAACGAATAACTATGACTTCATCATCTAAATTTAGACAAAAAACAACGGTTACTCTTAGTTTAAATCTAGATGAACAATCATAGTTGTTTATCGATGACAACAATCATAACAGTGAATAACCTTGCCATCATTTTTTTTTTTAAATAGACATTATAAATTTTTATTTTTATTTATATTTTTTAAAAAATCATCCTTGCCTAAGTGTTATATTTGAATGTCACGTAAATTTTAAATATACCTTATAACTATAAATTATTATAATATAACACGTGAACGATAATTAATTCTTACTAGTACATTAAAGTGAACGATAATCAATTCTTAGTTGTTACTAATACAGTCAAGTGAATATATAAATTTTTTTTTAGTACTACTAACTCTGTTACAATGCAGTATCTGTTCATAAGTACGTGAATATATAGCTTAATTGCATCATTTTGTAAATACAAAAAATTTAGGCTAAAGTGTCATTCCACACCACGAACAATTTCTGATTATTCATGCCGCACCATGATCTTTAATAAGTGATACTTAGAGCCATAAACCACAATATTTTTTTTTTTGTCTAGAACTTTTTATAGGTTACCGGTAATAATAATGTTGACATGGAATTTATTATTATTATTATTATTTTGATATTTGTTTTTCTTTCGCCTTCGTATCATAATTTTGTTGTATTTTTTTTCCTAAACGGAGTTTGTATGGGAGAAATGAGAAGCAAAAAACACAGAGTAAGACTATACGTTTAGGAAAAAAAGAAAAATATGAAAAAGAAAATACGAAAGCGAAAGAAGAAAAATACCAAAAAAAAATTAAAAAAATTTCATGTCAACATTATTATTACGTATAACTTGTATGAAACTTGTAACAAGTTTTAGACAAAAAAAATAATTTATGCCTCTAAATATGATCATGGTGCAGTATAAATAATTAAGAATGATTCATGGTGCCGAATGACTCTTTAGCAAAAAATTTATAATTTGATAGTTTAATTACTATTTTAGGCATGGTTCTAGCACTGAAAAGAATCACTGAAGCGTGGATTCATCTATGGCGATGGTGCATTCTAGCCTTAAATCCTTACTAAAATTTCCGATTGCGACCCGCTACATTGCTATTACATCGTTGTCTTCTTCCTTCTGCTGGCACCACCGTAGCCGCGCCTGCTCAATCTTCTGGGTTCACAAAGCAACGCCGACGAGGAGTTGGCCGGTAATCAGGGAACGAGTTCAAGGAATTAGGGCAGCATTTCCGGAGAATTTCAACACCGCCGCATGTTCCAGTACCGGCGATGATAATTCTACAGGCGGCCGGGAATACTTGATGATGTCAGACGAGCAGCTGCTGCGGCAGTGCGAGATGGAGACGTTCAAGTCGTCGGGCCCCGGCGGACAGCACCGCAACAAGAGAGAGTCTGCTGTGCGGCTCAAGCACCGTCCCACTGGTGTTGTTGCACAGGTATATAGTTCGCGATTCGTAGAATTTTCGTTTCGTTTCGTATTAATCTATTTTGCCTCATTCTCTCTAGGCCGCGGAAGATAGGTCACAGCACATGAATCGGGCGTCGGCACTTAATCGGTTGCGAGCTCAACTGGCTCTCAAAGGTTTGCATTCGTTCTAATTAAGCAGTAATCTATTGCCTGAGACTAGCATACATATTCACAGTACAGTATCCAACAATATAGTTATAATTTATACTAGTTTGAGCTTACAGTTCCTTTATTATCATGGACAATTTCTCAAGTAGGACTGTGCTGAAGTAGTGGCTCTTATGAACTATGCATCTTTAGCTTGCATTGAAAACACCTCCACAAGAGCTAATTCAAAACAGAAGTCGACCTAAAGCAAATGTGCACTGTTATGTTTGCTTGAATACATATTGCTGATGGTAGATTTATCTGACGATATTTGTTATATTCCATTTGAGTCAGTGAGGAACAGCATAGATCTTGATGATTACACACCTCCACAAGAGCTAATTCAAATACTCCCTGCAAATTCATCAATTAAGGGACCCAATTCTGGGCCTAAGATTGGACCAAATAATCCAAAATTTATTATGGTTTGTTTTACTCTTCCTGAAATCATTTAAGTATTTAGTTTTCCATGGTCCAATATGACTCATTGTTTCTTCTCCACTTTCCTGAACCTGCAGGGAATGCAAGCATTACTTGATCTAATTTTTGTTGTTGAGGGCTCTGTATCTGACGCTGCTAAGAAGTTGGGGTATGTGGTATAAGACCAATTTCTCTCTACCTCTTAGTGTGCATGCATGCATGTGGGTGTGTATACGTATGGGCTTCCTCATGTTCTCTTGCAGAAGCATACTGTGAGTCAATGAAAATGGTGAAGTAGGAATTTTCTTTGTATGTGCAATCGAACTTGTTAAAGCATTTCAGTTGCAAGCAAAATGATTATCTTATGGTTGAGCTAGTATGTACTCTTATAGTTTTATTGTTTACCTAGTTTCTTTCAGTCAGTTTAACCATTTAGCAAACACATTTTCTTTTGTTGTTGTTGGACAACTTCACTGGATACTTGTTGGACTTTCGACAGGTTAAGCACTGGGGCTTTATCAAGGCTTATACTATCTGATGATTCTCTTAGAATGGCTGTTAATGAATTCAGAACGTCTAAGGTACAACAGCATAATTATTACCTCATTTCAGGAATTAAAATGTTCTTTTTATATGTTTGTTCACTTGTTGATTGCACATTTGCACGTGATCTTTCCATCTGTGAAGTCTGTAAGAAAGCTTATATCCTATTTTGACTTTCTTAAGGGGCTGAAGCCTTGTTGCATCAGTCCCTTAGATCACAACCATCTTGTCTGGTAAAATTTGAAGAAGTGTTCATAGAAATCTAATACTTCTGGATATTAAAGGCTGTTTTTCCTGCTTGAATATTTTGAAATGAGTAACATTTTGGATCCAACTTACCAGATGGAGGAAAAGACACAATAAAATTTCATACCTCCTACAGACGAACTTCTGTAGCAGCTAGCCTAAACATTTGGTATAGCACTATAAATTGCAAAAGTAATCCAGAAAGGTTAGTGGCCCGAAGAACTGAACAAGGAATCTTAATATGCAGTAATCTATTACTTCCATTTGATAAATGGGGAATTGGGGATTCAATTTTCAGAGGACTTCTATTCCTGGATTTTGCTAATAAAACACAAAAAGAAGAATAGGGAGGAAAGTCATTTATATTAGCTGGGGTTGTGTTCTTAGACAGTGCTGAAATTGGAATAACAACTAGCATAGATAATTTCTGTGAGGATAGGGTAACTGACCCTTCAAGATCTGTGTGCACGTATAATATAACTGTGTCCATTTATAATGTGCTTATATAGGTATAATGTCTACTGAAACCATAAGGTGAAATCTTCGATATGGCTCAATGCAGGGTATGAAACCTCTCAAGTAGGATTACTGTCAAATATGAAATCTCTCAGGTACTATTGGCTCTTCTTATTTCCCTTGGTATTTTAGTTTTTGAATGGCATCAACATAGTGCTCAGATTATTCGAATCTCACTTGACCTCGTAGCCAATTGAAAGGTATTGTTCTTAGTAATATTCATAATGCAAAAACTGAATTTTAGATATTGTGCTAATCCTAGTCATTCTATTCCAATCCCAGAAGAGCATCTTCTTTTCACAATATCAGTCCTCTAACTCTGTACCACCAGCTGTGAAATGCATAATGATTCTACCCCTACCCCCTCCCCTCACAGTCTCTCTCTTAGGGGGAGATAGTGACTGAAAATTTGAAATTAGGGGTAGTTAATTCCAGCATTATTTTGATTGTGTAGTGGTGGGGGGTGAGTAAGGGAATTTACTTCTTTTGGTGATCAGAAATGGCTTCACAATCACCATATTAATCCGAAAAGTGTCTATGTGCTGACAAAACTCATCATTTATCTGTCTCTGCGTGCTGATAATATTTCAGTCTCATGCATCTACTTCAAGTTTATCTGTTCTTTGGCTTGGTCCATCAAACATTGGAGGCAACAAACTGACTTTGCACTAAAAGAGAATCCGCTCCTTATTTTCTTGGCATTTATTGACCATTTTGAACGAGAACTGCCAATCATTGAAGGAACACGCAGATGACGGAAGTACAAAAAAACACTCCAAGTCCAATGTTCAAGATTTTCACTGGAGGAGCCTGGGAATTGGTTTCAACTTTCAATGCAGAACACTCTGAAATCTGACCCTTTTGCCCTCTGTGGCATGCAGGTCTGACATTTCTGCTGGATCTTATTTGTCGTATTTGTTAATGACCTTTAGGGAAATTCAATGACAAAATCTGTTTATTTCATTATCGAGTAAGCACATAATGTGGGTCTTGGAATACTTGTTATCAAGGATCTCTATTGCGTGGTTGGACCATATTTTGTTGTTTTAGGTTTCTCTCCCAACATCTATTGTTGTTCAAGTAAAGCAGAATTTATTCCATTGCAACCACAGGTTGGTATACCTTTGTTTTGCCTAGTGGGTGGTGGGTACTTGGGGAATGTTCTTCCAATCCCCCATATCTATCTAAATATCTAATGACTAGTTATTTAAGGGTGTGTGTCTATATATATGTGTGTGTATGGTCAGGTTCCAATGAGAACATTAGAACATGTATCCAGTAAAAGTGCATATTAATCACATCCATCTATCTGAATGGATCAACGAAAAAATAATGAAAAAAGTGGAGCTAGTTTTATAAATATTATAAACTTGAAAATTTTTAATAATTAAAAATAGACCATGTATATATTTTTATATTAAAACACTCGATCGTTGATGAATCCAAATGCACAAGTAAAATTCGTTCACATTTTTTACAGTAATACCATGTTCTCATTTGGTTACCCCTCTATATATATAGTGAGAACAATGCTTCATATGTAAAAATGTTAAATAATTTTATTCGTCCATTTGAGTTATCAATGGCTAGAAAATAAAGAGGAAAATATAGTAGTATAATTAAGTATAGTTTTGGAATTATATTGTGTACTTTACAAATAACGGTAAGGATAAAAATTAATACTATCTAATATAACTTTAAAAATATACATGTTTGTATTTAATGTAAAAGACATCGGTGTTAATTGACACTATGCTCAATGCGGGAAATCTGTAGTCTAAACTTTTATATATATCCTCAGAGTGGATGAGATGGTGAGTCATGAGGCATCCACAAGCAAGACATGGATAGAATTTACACAAGTCAAAAGAGTGATTTTACATTACATGGTGAGTTTGCAAATGGGAAGTGAGTTTGATGGAGGGGAGAATCCTATTCTTTAGGATGAGATTCTTTCTCTTCCCCAATGGTCCGGCTTTACTATTTCTTTTTTCCTGTTGACCTTTTGGAGATTTATTTATTGACCAACATGGCAACATTGTCCATCATCAAAACCCCCCAAAAAGTAGGAATTCCTTCTTTCCAATTTTCATATCACAACCATCAACACATGGAATGTCAACTCCTGTTCCCACCCTCTTTCCCCCACCCCACCCCCACCCAAAAGAAAAAAAATAAATAATCCCCCCCATATAATATATGACTATAAATACTAACCCAGTTGGCCTAATAGAAAAGAGTAGGATTACACACATGGCTTAACTCACTGGTTCAGTAGACAGTATTTAGGAGAATGATAAAAGTTTGAATATTTTATTAAAGGGTTCTCTTCAAAAAAGAATTCAGTCGAATTAAACAATTTGACGATGTTTATTAGAAAGAAAATAACGTTTTTCGTCCTTGTATTTTATATAAAATAGCAATTTCAATTTCTTGATTATATTGTCAATGTGATGATCCTCTAATTTGTCACAAGGTTACTAATAGTTTTGGTTCCTCTTTTCATATAAGTTGACAATTATGATTCATAGACTCGTTGACAGAGAATTATAATTTCATCCCTGTAATAGCTAATATGCTCCAGAGTGTTATACAAAGGTGATGTGAATTGTTTCTATGGGTAAGATGCCAAAACTACATCTTATGAAAAATGAGGTTAATAATGCTTATTTCAATAATTGAAATACTCAAATTGTTATTCTATATATATAATATAAATATAAGGTGACAAAATGTTATTTTCCTTTATAATATGTTAGAATGTATGAATGTAGTCAAGAATGCATAAAAAAAGTATGTGAACTATCCTCTGTTTATCTATTACTCTGTATTACATATACATAGAAGTAGGGTTTACTGAGTGCAGCCCGCACGAGCTTAGCTCAATGGTTCAGTATTAAGTCGGGGTCGTGTCTACTGAACCATTGAGTCACATTTTCTCAAGTATTCTGTCAGGTTGGCCCGGAGTCCTGTCTGCTGAGACATATTGAGTCATCTCAAATGCTTTGTCAGGCCCGAGTGTAGGGACTTAAGTGCACATTTTTAAGCAGTGATTGCGTGTTTTTGTTTTCCTCCTAACCTAAAAAAAATGCGAACTTGCGAAGTAAACTATGGAGGAATCCAAGCATGTAAACCAGTGGTGGAAGGAAATTCAATGGCCAAAATATTCTCCACTATCCTACATTGCCATTTGCTCATATAGACTACTCATGAACTGCTTTCCTCAATTCCTTTGCACATATATATTTATATACACTCATACAAGATTTAATAATCTGGATTTGATTCTTCATTCCAAACCCACCCTAATAGTTACTATATATATATAATCTCTCACCTGTTGTCTCCTCCATTAACATTATCAGACAACAACAAATTTTCCAGCAAAAATGAGCGTGGAGCTGCCACAGTTGGAAATCCTAGGAATCCCGACCATCCAAAAATGGTCAGAAATCAAAGATTTTGGGTCGGAAATGAACGTCCCGACCACTTTTGGCATGCAGCTGCAACACAAGCTTCATCTAGCTATGGGGTCGATCAAAGATCACGCCTCCGTGGGAATGGCGTTGATATACAACCGCCACGCCTTCCTCCGCGACATAGAGGTGGCGGTGGTCCGTGCCACCAGCCACGGCGGGGCTGCCGCCGTGGATGACAAGTACGTCCACCAGATTCTTTTCTTAGTGTCTAATGATCCCAAGTGCGTGCTTTTCCTCGCCGATCGGCTCACTTGTCGCCTCAGTAAAACCCGGGAGCTCCTGGTGGCGCTCAAGACTCTTGTTCTGGTCCACCGCCTCCTCCGCGCCGGCAACGGGTGGTTCGAGAAGCGCCTCCGCAGCGCCCACGGCTCCGGCCACCTCCAAATCCATCTCGGTACGGATAAAAATAAGTCTAATATATACATGTATTCCTAAGATTATTTTCTGCAATATATATATATATATATATAGTGTACTCTGAGTCTTTCTCCGTCTGTCTTAGGGTCAGATCATATCCACCTAATTAATTTCTCTTAGAGGTACAAGAACTGGTCTAGGAAAATCGTCACAGGTTCTGAGAGGTACAGAAACCACTCGAGAAAATCGTCACTTATGAAAATCGAATCAAAATTATCCCAAAATTCTTTTTCAAAGAGAATTTATTTGATACTTTAGCTAATTGATTGAGTTTTACACTATATATTACTTATACACTTATCTTATTATACCTTCAACAGGTACTACGCACCATTTCCTCAACAACAACCCTAGCTGTCTCGTGATCTCCGATTTCCTGCAAAAGTACGCCGCATACGTGGAGAAAAGAATGGAATGGGGCATCAACCAGGCCGGAAAACTCGAGCCGGCGGTCTCCGCCGCCGCTCCGACGCCGCGAATACTGGATTATCCCGACGCGGTTCTGCACAAGATAACGAAAGGCCAAGAGCTTCTAGACAACATCATTCTTCTAGATCATTCCTCAGCGATATCCATCGTCGCCGCCGATGATCAAAGCCGCCACGCTTTGCTCCTCGCAGCTCTGAGCAACACGCTGAGAGAAAGCTTCGAAGTTTACCGGACAGTATGGGAAGGCATAACGTTCATCGTCAGCGAGTTTTTCGAACTGACAAACCGCGCCAGAGGCGCCGCCATTGAAATCCTCAGGAAAGCTTCCGAGCAAAACTCGCAGATCTCGCGGTTTTACGGCGACTGCAAACGGATCATTGACGGAAAGAGCTTGGATTACCCTTGCGTGCACGTTATAACGATGGACCATATCGCAGCGCTGGAACAGCTCCGCTTCGATTCGGCCAAACTGATGAGACATGCGGCGGCGGCGGATCGCAGGAAACAGATGCACAACGCCAGTAGCGCCGGCGGTTTTGGTTCTCTGTCATCTGCTCCGTTTTCTCTCACTAAAGAGACGAAAATAAGCAAAGTGTGGGTGGTTTTTGACGACCAAGAAGAGCCTGATGAACATCAATCTCCATAGCATATATATATATGCATGTATAGTATACATGTATACATATATACTGCAATTTTTTTTTTTCTTCTTATGGTTTGAATGTTTGATCAGATTGTGGACTTGTTCTTATTGGTTTATAGTTTGATTGTAATCTCTGATTTTTATTTTTTTGTGGAAACAATTTATTGACCCAGCTATGAATAACTTAGGATGGTTTCAAATACAAGATATAATCATATTGTAGTGTTTTAAGATTTGTTATGAAATATAGAATTAGAAAAATAGTGTTATAAGACATCTCAAATATGGGACATTGGGGTGTCAAATCATCTCCTCTATATGTTTTTAGTTAATGAAGCTTAACGGAACTTAAAGAATTACTGTGTAGAGTAGTGAGTTATATAGGAACCGATATGGGCAACTTAACTGATCATAGAAGTGAAAGTTTGAAAGAATAACCAAAGATAGAGTCTTACCGAGAGTGTGGAGCAACCTCTCAAAGTGAGGGGAAAGTCTAGCCTCAGTTGAGTTACCACACTCTTAAGTAATGACGGTGGATTTTCAGAAACAAAAAGGAAAATGTTATTTATCCTTCAAAAAATAACTTAGAGAGTTTATTATTGAAATGGTCCATCGACTATTGTGAAATTATCAATTTGGTCATCGACAATTTTTCGTGCCACATTAAGTTCCTCGACTTTGAAAATGTTAACCAATTTGATCCTTCGTTTATTTTGTCGTTAGACATCCGTTAACTCAGGACCAAATTGGTAATTTTCCTATAGTCAATGGACCATTTCAATCATCACATGCAATATTTTTCTAAAAGTTAATTACCAAAATGGTCCCTTGAATAGAGCAAAATTACCAATTTCGTCCCGAGTAAACGGTTATCTAACGACAAAATAAATGAAGGACCAAATTAGTTAACATTTTCAAAGTCGAGTGACTTAATTGGGCACGAAAAATGTCAAGGACCAAATTGGTAATTTCGTAATAGTCGAGGGACCATTTCACAATTGGGAAGGAATAGATTTTTAACTACTTTTTATACGGGTCGCGGCCCAAAAAACCTATTTGGGCTTCTGTAACGACTTGGGCCACAGGCCACAGGCCCAGCTATTGGACCAATCTATTTGGGCTGTAACCAATGGTCCAATAGATTGGGCTGTAACCTCCGGCCACAGGCCCAGCTACACGGCGGAGAATTCGGGCTCGTGCGACGGTAACTAAACTGGAAATGGATGAAAATGGAGGAGACGAAGACGCGGTCAAAACTCATACTTTCTGTGAATAACCAACCATTGGACCATTGGTCCCTCTTCTTTAACACTCTTTCCTTTTTCACTCAATCCACCTCGGATTTACCTCTTCCTATAAATTCTCACGTTTTTATCTTTTCCATTTTTAAATATATTCCTTTCGTATTTATATGTCCAGTTTTGGCCAGATTTCCGGTGCTCAGAACGGTTGATTCCTCGACGTAGATCCAATTTCACGTATTTCAGGTCTATAGGAAGTGAATGCTTTCCAGGCGGTGGTTTTTGAATCGGGAGTAGAGATGTCCGGGATATGGAGATGGAGGAAGCTGAAAGAGGCGGCGGTTATAACTGCCTGTAGAAGGCGGAGGACGGCGGCGCCGGCGGCGGGAGCAGCGTCGACTTGGAATGAGGATTGGCGGAGGCGGACGCGGGGGTTTGTGAACTGCCTGCACTTTCGGCGGAGAGAGTCGGTAATCGGAGTTCAGGCGAGGTACAAGTGGGACCGAGGCGGTTCCTCCGATGAGACTAGGAGGATTAGGGCGGAGGTGAACTGTCCGCGTTGCTCCAAGCACATGGATCTCCTCTTCACCAACCGCCACCCCCACCTTATTCCGGCGCCTCCTTCCGATTCGAATTCCGCTTGTGATAGTAATAACGGAAAAAACGCTAGCGTTTTAGCTAGCTCCGTCGCCGTCGACAATGATGGAACTAACGGTAACAGTAACGCTAGTAGTACTAATGCTAATTCGAAACCCGGCGGCCCTTATCACGCCGTGAATATCTGCCCCAATTGTAAGACCGGCTACTATTTCCGGCCGTACAAGATGGCGCCTCTCCAGGGAAGTTTCTTCGAGATTGGGAGGGTAAAAACTAATGTCACGGGAAAGAATTCCGATAAGAAGATGTCGGAAGAGGAGGAGTATGGGAAGCGCCTGAAGTCCTCTTTCTGGGAGACTCTGCAGATATACGGCAGTGAGCCTCCTGAGAATTGGCCTCCATCCTCTCCACTGCCTTCTAGCAATGGCATAGCTGTACATACCCCTCCCGGCCCGCCTTTTCTCCCCGGTGTCAATGCCATTCGGGCCGCTGCTCCCAGCGGGGAGAAGAGTTCTTGGGGTGGATCTAATTTGGGGAAGAATTTACCTACACCAAAGGAGATCTGCAAGGGACTTGATAAGTTTGTCATTGGCCAAGAGCGTGCGAAGAAGGTCATTTCTTTTTTTTCATGTTCATTATTCATCCAAACAATACTGCACCAACCATGTAATGATGTTGACATGTTCATTAATAGCATTGGTGATATTGGTGATATAACTTCAAAGTGATATGCTGGGGTTGACAACAGGGTTATATTCACAAGAAACATTACTTATAATCATTATGTAATTCTTTAATGATCATTTTTGAACTTTTTTGCTTTTATAGTTGGTCTGACTTTTTAGAATTGGCACAAATCTGTTATTCCCAAAATTACAAACTGCAATTCTGCATTGTGTGTAACCTGACTTTTGGATTAAGTCTATTATTTCCAAAGATTCTCAGTTGCTACTCTCTATGCTTTTCTTTATCATGTTTTGTCTCTGGAGAGGCATGCACACCATGAATGTGCTGGTGTCCTTACATGCACAAGATGAGATCCATAACCATTAATCTATTTATACTTATGATGATGAAAATGTTCCCTGCATTTAAAACACTTGCTATGCTTATTATTCTCCACTCTGAACCTAATCTTACCTTTCTATTATACATTTAGCAGGTGCTTTCTGTGGCTGCTCATAACCACTACAAAAGGATATACCATGTCTCCCTGCAAAAAGGGTATGTCATATGTGAAACAATTGTTTCTTAACATTGACCCATCAAAAACAGAAAGTTTCTTAATGTCTATTATTTGCTTGATATTGCATGAATTTCAGCAGGCACAGTCTGGATTGTGTTTTGTTATTAATGTTCAAATCAGAATTATTTATTATCGGCATTTCTTGAAATCTTGTACAATAAATTAACTCTGTAGTTGGATGCTAGGTCAGAAGCAGAGTCAGTTAAAGAAGATAATGACAGCAATGTAGAATTGGAAAAAAGCAATGTGCTTCTGTTGGGGCCAACTGGTTCAGGTATGAGAATTCATTTGTCATTCTAGTATGTCTGGTTGTGTCTCTCTTTAATCTCTAGCATTCTAGGTTTAGAGAAATCTTTCACAGTGATATTGCTTGTCTTTCCACGGTGCATTACCCTTCTGATTCAGTTCTTTATAACAGGGAAGACATTACTTGCCAAAACTCTAGCTCGCTTTGTGAATGTGCCATTTGTTATTGTCGATGCAACTACTTTAACACAGGCAAGTAAAATGCTATTTTGTTGTAACTTTTTCCTCATTGCCCATCTACCTTTCTTGTAAGAAAGAAAACTGATACCGTTTCCCATTTCTCTAGCAATTGCTGAATTTTATATTTGTTTGATGTTGCCAATTGTCGGAGTGAAAGAGGAATGTATTACTTGCTCTTTTCACTTTTCACTTTTCAGTTCTATAATGCATTTGTTATAGGTTAGTCAATTTTGGTTTTAATTCATCTGTCATCATCTATAGAGTACCATTTTAAGCTTGTCTGCTCAGGAAAGAAATAGAGATTATAACATCATCCTGTCCTTGCTTGATTTATTTTTTCCCTGCTGTCCTATTGAAAGAAAATTTTATTTTGCAGGCCGGTTATGTTGGTGAGGATGTTGAGTCAATACTGTATAAACTGCTTACGGTATAGTTTTCAAACTCTGAATAGTTTCCCCAAAAAAAAGATCTTTCTTGTTTGTTTATTTGTTTTTTAAAAATCAAATTGATGTTTATGTCTCTTGAATCATTATACTCCTTTTCAAAACCATCAAGTTTTTATGCCAAACATATGATAAAATTTGGATGAGTAGTTTGTGTAGCAGAATTAGTCCCAATGTGGACTTTGAATGATGTGAGGCATGTTGTGCTTATAAACCGTGAAGAAAAGCTATCCAATTTTGCTTGCATGTCGTAGTTTTTACCAAACCATTTCCTCTTAATAACCCAAATTTATTTTTCAGCTTGGGTTACAAGTGATTCAGAAAAGTGGATCCTAATGATATCCTTAACCTCTTTTAAGCCATTCAATGCAATCCTCTACATGTTTTATGTTATTCATTTTCGATTTGCTGGTACTTAAAAGATCTGGAGGAGAAGTGGTTGGTTATGTCAATAAACTTTTTGATGCTTTTCCTTTTTGCCAATACTTTATCTGTTTTTTCAATCTTTGCTCTCTGTAGATGTTCATTTCTGTTCTTATGAGCCCCTACATTTATCAGTGAAACGTCTCTGAGCTTTCAAATTTGGCATGAAGGTTGCTGAATTCAATGTACAAGCAGCTCAGCAAGGGATGGTCTACATTGATGAAGTAGATAAGATTATTAAGAAGGTATTCAGTTTTTATTTTTTTGACTTCTTCATACAATGTTGGTTTCTCCATTTGACAGTTCATGATAGTAGATCTGATACACCTTTGGTTCTCCATCTTTACCCTGCCATTTGAAGGCTGAGAGCGTAAATATTAGCAGAGATGTCTCTGGTGAAGGAGTTCAACAGGCCCTACTAAAAATGCTTGAAGGAACTGTGAGTCATAGCCTACTTGTAAATTAGTTGCTTTAGTTTATTATATGTGTAGTTAACTGAATGCTGGATGAACTATTCTTACCTTATAAGTGAATGCAGATATGATCATATATTGAAGAATGTGTTGCATGAGAGTGAAGAAAATGAGAGGAAAGGGAGAGAAATGTGTGAAATGGAGATGGTGCATATATTGAGGAGAGGAGCTAGGAAATGTATACAGTGTGTATTGTGAAAGGAAAGGCCAAAATTTTCCCTAATTTCCTTCCCCTTATGGGGACAAGATGGGAGATTAACTTCCCCCATTTCGGTCTCCATTTTAACTTATCTATTCATGAGAGTAAAAATTTCTATTAATTACCCCCTTTTTTCTTTGCTAAATCATTAATTAGAAGTTTATGTTGGAATGTATGATGATTAGAATTGGGGCCTACTACAATGCTAGAACTATTATTTAAAATGTTTTAGGGCTGTGAGTCTGATAATAAATAAATATTTCTTCATATCAGATTGTAAATGTTCCTGAAAAAGGTGCAAGGAAGCATCCTCGTGGTGATAATATTCAGGTACAATAGACCTGAAGTATTCTCATTCCTGAAATGCTGTTTACTTTCTATTTATGTTTCTTTCCATTTGGCATGGGACTCTGCATATGCTCTTTGATGCTATTTTAAAAATGCACTTGAACCTTTACAGATAGATACAAAAGACATACTTTTCATCTGTGGAGGAGCATTCATTGATCTGGAAAAGACCATTTCTGAGAGGTGATTTTCATTTTCTGCATTTCTGCCAGTACAAATTACAATTCCCTACCAAGGACCTTGTGGTCCACTGGTATCCGGTTGCTCCCCTATGTGGGAGGTCTAGGGTTCGTATCCCCCTTCCTTTGTAATAAAAAAAAATTACAATTCCCTAGAAATAATTTTACTCACTTGAAGGCTGAAACTGAAACTTTTTCTGGACTTCTATGTGTCAGACGGCAGGATTCTTCCATTGGTTTTGGTGCGCAAGTACGTGCCAACATGAGAACTGGTAGAGTAACTGATGCTGTTGTGACATCATCTTTACTAGAAACTGTAAGAATGATGACTGGCAGTATTTGAAACTTGTAATTAAAATATAAATTGCTCCAACTATCTAGATGGTTGCTAACCTGACGCATGTTGCTTCCTATCTTCAGGTTGAGAGCAGTGATCTGATTGCATATGGCCTTATTCCAGAGTTTATCGGGCGCTTCCCTATTTTAGTTAGTTTGTCAGCACTTACTGAGAACCAACTTGTTCAGGTATTTTTTGAGCCAGTTCCTATTCTTTCCAGTTCTTGTCATTCTTTTGAGCTTTCTTGGAGTTTTCTTTGACATTCTTAAATTAGAAAATCTATATAATGATTTAAACTCTCTTTCAGGTCCTCGTAGACCCAAAAAATGCTCTTTGCAAGCAGTACAAGAAATTGTTTAACATGAACAAAGTAAGCCGATGCCCATCACCTCCAAGCTTATCTTTCTTCCTTTTTCATTTTGTAACAGAGTTAATGGGGGAGGAGTGATGCATATCTGTGTTTGTTCATGCTTTGCCCACCCAAAGACGAACTCACACGAAATTGACTCATAATCATGTCAGGCTCTTATATTTGGCTAATTCTGTGCTATTTGAATTATTATATTTAGGTGAAGCTACAATTTACAGACGAGGCGTTGAGGTTAATTGCGAAGAAAGCGTATGCTAAAAACACCGGCGCAAGAGGGTTAAGAGCCATACTGGAGAGCATATTAACTGATGCTATGTATGAGGTAAATACCCAATTCAACAGTATATACTAGAAGAGCTATCTGTTCGTTGTTTCTCATTTTTATTGCCTGTTACTTGTAGATTCCTGAAGTTAAGGCAGGGAACGAGAAAGTAGATGCTGTTGTGGTTGATGAAGAGTCGGTGGGTAGCGCAAGCGTCCCTGGATGTGGTGGTAAATTACTCTTTGGAAATGGTGCTTTGGAGCAATACCTTGCTCGGAATCAGTCTAAAGATCAAAAGGTAGGGTTAACTGATATTTTCCTACACGTTGCTTTATATTGGAACATGTATTGATATTCACCCGAATTGAAAGACACGTTCTGTCTCAACTAAAAGTCTAAACTGACAGTATATAGGACACATTTATATTTATATATTATATATATATGATCAATAGCCGGAAAATTGCTTGGCAGGAAATTGCTGAATCGGAACTGCAAGATGGTGGTGTTTCAGAAGTTTCATCAAGAGCAATGAGCATATAACATTAACAGAATCAGATTTTGTAATTTGTAGTATTTCTGTCTATATAAATTGTTGTAAATTTTGCATCCATACTAGTTGTATTGATCCAATTGTAACACAATATAGGGCATCTAGCCATTTACCAGAAAGGTCACAGAAGATAGGGAATGAAGGGGATCAATAGAAGGAAGGATTATGTACCATTTCTAGTTTTCATTCAGCATCTGTAAACATTCTTTGGCAAGGGTATTTATTGTCACATGAATTAGCAGTTTTACATTTTGTAGTTACCTCAAACAACCCACTCCCCTCCCCCTCTACCCAATTGTTATACCGTGAATCATTTTTCACATTGCAGTTTATTTCATTTTGTGTATTGCAGGTTTATTTTTAGTGAACTAGTTAATAGTAGCTTCCTTATAAAGTTATAAGCATGAAAATGAGAATTGAAATTGACAACACTTTCTCTTCCCTATACATATGGAAATGAGAATTGAACAAGATCAAGGCCTTGTTTGGTAAAGTAGTTAGCTTATCAGTCAATTTTGACTTTTTTTTTTTTTAAAGCAACCAGACTGGTTATATTATAGATATGCGGAAATAGAATCCGGGGGGACAATGTCCCAATACATAGCTGTAGTGTAATTAAAAGCAGTAGAAGCTAAAATATGAGCTAAATAATTCTGAGATCTAGGGACGAAACTAATACTAGTAGTGTCAAAACAATTCTGAGATCTAGGGACGAAACTAATACTAGTAGTGTCAAAACTTGACATGTGAGCCTTACAGGCTTGTAAAACGTAACCTACGTATGAACGGGGTGTAGACATGGATGAAGTTAGGTGCCGTTGTAGTGTATGACAATCCGTATATACCTGTACCAGACGCTCGCCACGATCTCGTAACCACGCAAGTGCCTCCTTGCACGCCATTGCTTCGGCCATGAGGGGGGAGAAACATGCTGTGGGGAAAAGCCGACCGATAGATACTCGCCATTGGCCGTAAATAATATTGCACCTGCCGCTGCCGTGTTGGTTTGATGCCGGTACCCGGCGTCGATGTAGCATTGGACCGGCTGCGGGTTCGGGGGATGTTGTGATGTTCCGGCCGTGTGGTGTGGATTTTGCGTCGGCAGTGTAGGATACTGCAGAGAGAGTTGAGTTGGCCATCCGCGGGTGATGGGTGTCTGGTTTGGGTTGGCACGGCAGTGTGCCGGTGGACTCAAACCCACGCCTGCATGGTTGTAGTTGCGGCTGCCAAGATCTTTGTGGGTCGTTGTAGTTGCGGCTGCCGATCTTTGTGGGTCTTTGGAGGCCAGCATCCCAAACCGCTCCATTTCGTACCCTCCATAAGTGATAGAGGATTGCAGTTGCAAACACAATTCCATTAGAGTCTAGAACATTCACTAATGCACTAAACCATTCATGAAAATTATTCGTTATCATATTGGGAATTGGAAGGTTAGATCGTGCCCATATGGACCTAGCATAGTCACATGATACCAATGAATGGGGTCCACTTCTACTCAATTGTCACTTATTTAACCGCCCTTTACTAAACATCCCCATTCATTACCAGGTAGAAATGTCAAAGATGGGTGTAAACGTGCAGTAACAATAATAATACTGAAAACACTCCCTTCTCTATGCATATTAAATTGTTAATAGCAACCAAAAAGGAGTGGGGACAGCTGGTCGATCCAAAACTGCATAAAACTATTATTAAAAACTAAATAGTAAAAACTAGTAAGGAGTTATAAATTAAAAAAAAAAAAAGAAAAAAGAATGTCTCTATTTTGCAGAGGCAATTAGTGATTGGGCTTCTGCTGGAGTTGGAAGTGCTGGAATGGCTCCTTTCTGAGTTGTGCAAAGTGCTCCACATGCATTTGCAAACTTCAATGCTTCTTTCAACTTCCCTTCATCCTACATTCACCCATATAACAAACAAATCCAAACAATATTGCACCAACCATGTAATGATGTTGACATGTTCATTAATAGCATTGGTGATATAACTTCAAAGTGATATGCTGGGGTTGACAACAGGTTTACAGTCACAAGAAACATTACTTATAATCATTATGTAATTCTTTAATGATCATTTTTGAACTTTTTTGCTTTTATAGTTGGTCTGACTTTTTAGAATTGGCACAAATCTGTTATTCCCAAAATTACAAACTGCAATTCTGTATTGTGTGTAACCTGACTTTTGGATTAAGTCTATTATTTCCAAAGATTCTCAGTTGCTACTCTCTATGCTTTTCTTTATCATGTTATGTCTCTGGAGAGGCATGCACACCATGAATGTGCTGGTGTCCTTACATGCACAAGATGAGATCCATAACCATTAATCTATTTATACTTATGATGATGAAAATGTTCCCTGCATTTAAAACACTTGCTATGCTTATTATTCTCCACTCTGAACCTAATCTTACCTTTCTATTATACATTTAGCAGGTGCTTTCTGTGGCTGCTCATAACCACTACAAAAGGATATACCATGTCTCCCTGCAAAAAGGGTATGTCATATGTGAAACAATTGTTTCTTAACATTGACCCATCAAAAACAGAAAGTTTCTTAATGTCTATTATTTGCTTGATATTGCATGAATTTCAGCAGGCACAATCTGGATTGTGTTTTGTTATTAATGTTCAAATCAGAATTATTTATTATCGGCATTTCTTGAAATCTTGTACAATAAATTAACTCTGTAGTTGGATGCTAGGTCAGAAGCAGAGTCAGTTAAAGAAGATAATGACAGCAATGTAGAATTGGAAAAAAGCAATGTGCTTCTGTTGGGGCCAACTGGTTCAGGTATGAGAATTCATTTGTCATTCTAGTATGTCTGGTTGTGTCTCTCTTTAATCTCTAGCATTCTAGGTTTAGAGAAATCTTTCACAGTGATATTGCTTGTCTTTCCACGGTGCATTACCCTTCTGATTCAGTTCTTTATAACAGGGAAGACATTACTTGCCAAAACTCTAGCTCGCTTTGTGAATGTACCATTTGTTATTGTCGATGCAACTACTTTAACACAGGCAAGTAAAATGCTACTTTGTTGTAACTTTTTCCTCATTGCCCATCTACCTTTCTTGTAAGAAAGAAAACTGATACCGTTTCCCATTTCTCTAGCAATTGCTGAATTTTATATTTGTTTGATGTTGCCAATTGTCGGAGTAAAAGAGGAATGTATTACTTGCTCTTTTCACTTTTCACTTTTCAGTTCTATAATGCATTTGTTATAGGTTAGTCAATTTTGGTTTTAATTCATCTGTCATCATCTATAGAGTACCATTTTAAGCTTGTCTGCTCAGGAAAGAAATAGAGATTATAACATCATCTTGTCCTAGCTTTATTTATTTTTTCCCTGCTGTCCTATTGAAAGTACATTTCATTTTGTAAGCCGGTTATGTTGGTGAGGATGTTGAGTCAATACTGTATAAACTGCTTACGGTATAGTTTTCAAACTCTGAATAGTTTCCCCAAAAAAAAGATCTTTCTTGTTTGTTTATTTGTTTTTTAAAAATCAAATTGATGTTTATGTCTCTTGAATCATTATACTCCTTTTCAAAACCATCAAGTTTTTATGCCAAACATATGATAAAATTTGGATGAGTAGTTTGTGTAGCAGAATTAGTCCCAATGTGGACTTTGAATGATGTGAGGCATGTTGTGCTTATAAACCGTGAAGAAAAGCTATCCAATTTTGCTTGCATGTCGTAGTTTTTACCAAACCATTTCCTCTTAATAACCCAAATTTATTTTTCAGCTTGGGTTACAAGTGATTCAGAAAATTGAATCCTAATGATATCCTTAACTTCTTTTAAGCCATTCAATGTAATCCTCTACATGTTTTATGTTATTCATTTTGGATTTGCTGGTACTTAAAAGATCAGGAGGAAAAGTGGTTGGTTATGTCAATAAACTTTTTGATGCTTTTCCTTTTTGCCAATACTTTATCTGTTTTTTCAATCTTTGCTCTCTGTAGATGTTCATTTCTGTTCTTATGAGCCCCTACATTTATCAGTGAAACGTCTCTGAGCTTTCAAATTTGGCATGAAGGTTGCTGAATTCAATGTACAAGCAGCTCAGCAAGGGATGGTCTACATTGATGAAGTAGATAAGATTATTAAGAAGGTATTCAGTTTTTATTTTTTAGACTTCTTCATACAATGTTGGTTTCTCCATTTGACAGTTCATGATAGTAGATCTGATACACCTTTGGTTCTCCATCTTTACCCTGCCATTTGAAGGCTGAGAGCGTAAATATTAGCAGAGATGTCTCTGGTGAAGGAGTTCAACAGGCCCTACTAAAAATTTTCCCTAATTTCCTTCCCCTTATGGGGACAAGATGGGAGATTAACTTCCCCCATTTCGGTCTCCATTTTAACTTATCTATTCATGAGAGTAAAAATTTCTATTAATTACCCCTTTTTTTCTTTGCTAAATCATTAATTAGAAGTTTATGTTGGAATGTATGATGATTAGAATTGGGGCCTACTACAATGCTAGAACTATTATTTAAAATGTTTTAGGGCTGTGAGTCTGATAATAAATAAATATTTCTTCATATCAGATTGTAAATGTTCCTGAAAAAGGTGATAATATTCAGGTACAATAGACCTGAAGTATTCTCATTCCTGAAATGCTGTTTACTTTCTATTTATGTTTCTTTCCATTTGGCATGGGACTCTGCATATGCTCTTTGATGCTATTTTAAAAATGCACTTGAACCTTTACAGATAGATACAAAAGACATACTTTTCATCTGTGGGGGAGCATTCATTGATCTGGAAAAGACCATTTCTGAGAGGTGATTTTCATGTTCTGCATTTCTGCCAGTACAAATTACAATTCCCTAGAAATAATTCTACTCACTTTAAGTTAGAAATTTTTTCTGGACTTCTATGTCTCAGACGGCAGGATTCTTCCATTGGTTTTGGTGTGCGAGTACGTGCCAACATGAGAACTGGTAGAGTAACTGATGATGTTGTGACATCATCTTTACTAGAAACTGTAAGAATGATGACTGGCAGTATTTGAAACTTGTAATTAAAGATTTAAAATATAAATTGCTCCAACTATCTAGATGGTTGCTAACCTGAAGCATGTTGCTTCCTATCTTCAGGTTGAGAGCAGTGATCTGATTGCATATGGCCTTATTCCAGAGTTTATCGGGCGCTTCCCTATTTTAGTTAGTTTGTCAGCACTTACTGAGAACCAACTTGTTCAGGTATTTTAGATGTTAGTTAAAATAATGTAGTGGTTTTCTAAAAAAAATGTTGAAAAAAAAAAAAAAAAAAAGAATGGAGTGTTAAATGATGGACAAAAAAAAGAGACAAAGATCACATCAAGACAAAGACAAAGAAGACAAAAAAGTAATTGTAAAGTTGTTATTTCTTTAAAAATTGAGGGCAATTAAAATGAAAAAATAAATCAAAAATTAGATAAAAAAATTTCATCCATTAGATTTGAAATCAATGGTAAGCGAGGAGTGCCATTTTTGAGGGGCAAATGGCAACTCCCAAATATAAGTATAGGGGAGATATGGAAATGAAAATAAAACTTGATATATTAAGATAAGTTTGTTTGTTTTTTTTTTTTTTTAAAGGTCAACCAATGAGTTGTATTCATAGATAAGTTGAAATAGCATCAGGTGGGATAAGATCCCAATACATAGCTGTATCATACTGGAAAGCTGTAGAAGCTAAACTATGTGCTAAATAATTCTGCGATCTAGGAATGAAATTAACATGACTATAATTAAAAGTAGACAAAAAGTTCCTTCATCCATCAATAGCATAGCCAACATATGATCGTGTGAGCAGTTGCGGTGTGATTAAGTAACTCTGTAGCATCTGGCAATCCGTATAAAGCTCTACATTTTGATCTCCACGGTCGCGTAGCCAAGATAGAGCCTCCTTAAAAGCATATGCCTCAGCCATTAGTGGGGAAAAACAATGTGGCAAAGGTGCGGCGTATGCCGAAATAAATAGACCATCTGGTCCAATTATTACTGCTCCTACCGTTGCTGCATTGTCCGTATGATGATATCCAGCATCGACATAGCACTTGGATTGGCCCTGGGGCGTGATTTGCTGTAGACTGTTCGTGGGCAGGCCCTGGGGCGTGATTTGCTGTAGCTTGGATGGCGGCTTCGTGGGCAGTATTGGGCGTCGTGGGCAGGCCCTGGGGCGTGATTTGCTGTAGCTTGGATGGCGGCTCGGCTTCGTGGGCAGTATTGGGCGGTGGGGCGCTGTTGACGCAGCATTCCTTTCCCCTCTTGGCGGACGCAGCATTCCTTTCCCCTCTTGGCGCATGGACATGGCGCCATGCGGATAATTCGGCCTGGGCCGCGGCAATTGCAGCTGCGTAGGCAATACCATCAGAATCTAGAATATTTAACATTGCACTAAACCATTCATAAAAAATATTTGTCACAATATTTATAGATGGAAGGTTAGATAGTGCCCAAATGGTCCTTGTGTAGTCACACAAAACCAATGCATGCATAATATTCTCATTTGCAACTCCACACATGGTACACACCGGATCAACCTCTACTCTCTTTATAAGCAAGTTATTGGTAGTAGGGAGGATATCACTCTCCATAATAACTACTCTCTTTATAACACTACAAGAATGTTAACATTTAGCGACGTTTTTTAAACATCAATAAAAATAAAAATACGTCGCCAAATGTCTTTACTGACGAAATAAAAACGTCACCCGGACCGTCGGGTTAGCGGCGTATGGAAAGGTATTATTGACAAAGTTAATTTTTCGTCACAAAATATTGCGATTACTGACGTTTTTTGCATGGTCTTGATAATGTCATGGAATACATACTTTTTGTCACGAAATATTAACAAAAACGTCGGTAATAGTTTGTGACGAAGTAAAATATTTCGTCGGCAAATGTGTCTTTACTGGCATTTTCCATACAATTATGATTGTCATGAATAAATTTAATTGGTGACGAAAAATGAAATGCGTGAACAAAATAACATTTATTGACGATTGTGTACATTTAATAATTGATGATATTTACATATACTTGTATATAAAAAGGTTTACACAACAATTTCATGTAATTGAAAATAAAATATTTTAGCATCAATTAAATGTTTAAAATAGAAGAATATTTTTCACAGTATAATATTGAATTACAAAAATGTAATGTGATCAAATTATTCTTAAAATATGTCAAACTAGACACGAGAATATATACAATTCTATGTACATAAAGATGGATAATAATTTTCATGTTCATCAAAACTATTGAGGTTGGCAGTTGAAATTTTAGTTGAAGAGGATCCAGACACAACATCCTAAAGCCACTAGGCATACCCTTTAATGTTCCCTTCAATGTCCGTTGGAAGTCCGATACCTTTAATCTCTCCACAACAACTAAAATGATCCTCAAGAGAACTCCTGATCTGCAAATGGTATATACAAAGGCAACCAGATCAGACATCAATAAAGAAAATGGATCACAAGTTATCACAGACAAAAAAAGATACCACAAGTACCTTATCTTCAAGGTCATTCTTGTCAAACCCCTTAACAAACACAGTTGTACTTTCACCTCCACCCTTGAACTGCCACTGGAAGGAGTTATCAAATTTCCTACAGTAAACAAATTACCCAAAAAAAAATAAAAAAATTTATACACTATGTTTAACTCACAAATCACAATCCATGATTCTAACTTTAGGGAAAGATGGCTTACCCAGTATTACACTATGTTTAACTCACAAGTCACAATCAATGATTTTAACTTTAGGGGAAGATGGCCTACCCAGCATTCAGAGTATAAGCTCCCCCCTCTTTAGCAAGGTCAAGAGTCACTTCTCGGCCCAACAACTGTTGGCCATTAAGTTGAAGAGCCTGCAACAGATTTGTACACACATCAACAAATAATCCAACTCAGTCACTGTTAAACAAGGAAACGGTTAAAAGTCACGCACATAGACAACGATTTTTAACCGTTGTCTTTTCTAGAAAAGACAACAGTTAAAAATCGTTGTCTATTGATTAAGTGAGCAGGGGCTTCTTCATCTTGTGATTGTGCCTTATATGAGATTGGTACAGTCTTGCTGTAAACAGCTATAAAGAAGACATGATTAATGCATGAAGACACCTTCAAAGAACCATGAACTGGAACATAACAGTCTGCCCAACCAAGTCCAGCAACAAGACAGAAGCATCATCACAGATTCACAGTTAATATGTGCCAACTCACAAGACTTTTAACATGTAAATTGACTCAATTACCTTTGTACAGGAATCACTGTGTTGCATATTGCCATAACAGTAAAAAATTGAATAATATCTAGAGAACCAGAGGCAACAACATTAAGCAGTTCTGAATCTGCATAAGCAAAAGGCTTTTAGCAAATTCTGTGAAACAAATGATAGAGAGATTATTTCTTTTTCCATCTTGGATATGTAAACTTCCATTAAGGTTGGACAAACTGGAACCTCCCCAAACAAATTTGAAGTTTAGTTAACACATGACCAACCTCACCCAACAAATCACAAACTCAATATACTCGCCTAAACTAATCCTCCATCTAGCTAATAAAGTCAACCAAATTCCCCAGGCATAAGCATTACCGTGTAACAGAAGAGAATATTGGAACGTTATGAAACTGATGAGACAGAAGAGAATTCGATTCTTTCATTTTGCTAGGGATATGGAATATTAGAACGTTATAAAGATTTTTAAATATGTTTTCATATTCTATTAATTGGTGACCCTTCTAGAAGGGTACTTAAATATTGAAGACAGTGCACAAAACAAACTCCAGTACCCTATACAGGCATGTTATTGTTCTACCAGATGGAGATCCAGCACCCTATACAGGCATGTTATTTTTCTACCAAATGGAGATATCTCTAGCCTCATTATTTGTGTCAAATTTCATTAAATGCATCAAATGTGCAACTCGATCAAGTCACCAAACATGCAAATTCCCCTTTTATCTCAGGACTTTGGTAGTCTCAAATGTGATGTTGGCTCTCTACTGCCTGTGTTTTTACTCGGTCCTTGGATTCATTGCTTGGACTTGACTCCCATAAGAAGAACATGGTAAGAAATTTAATGTAGACAGAAAGATGTAGAAGGAAATCTAACAAAAGCATAACTGCAACTCTGCAACAATCTAGCATGTCAGATCCATATTATTTGTAAAGCCCTATTATGATGAGATTTCTTGAGCAAGTATTCTAAGATCAAAATGTGGTCAGCTCTTATAAATGAATTGGAACAAAGGTCATGGATTTAAATAATACCAAAGTAATATATAATCATATAATCACATGTATTAATGACATAACAATTCAAAATAAATAAATAAATAAAAGATCCAAATAGGAATCATGGAAAGGGGAGATAAACTAAAAGAAAGAAAGTCAAATCTTACCTTTTACAGCATCTCCATTCTCACTGCCATAGGAACCTCCATTAACAAAACATCTTTTTAAAATCATTTTATTTTCAGTGATTGTCCCTGTTTTGTCAGTCATAAACTAACCTAATTATCCACAACTAACCTAGGGTTTAAGAACATTCATAGCTTTCAACTATGGAAATTCAACAATACAATTAAGAAATTAGGGATTAGGGTTAAAACAAATTGAGGACTAACCTGTAGGAGCTTAAGAGCGAGAGAGGAGGCCGGGAAGCGGCACGACGGCGGTACAGGAGGCCGGAAAAAGGCGACGACAGCAGAGGAGGGAAGAGGCGACGCCAGAGGAGGTTGGAGCGACGGCGACCGCGGTGGTTGGCCGGGGTTCGTCGGCGTGTGAGGGCCCGGGAGGGAGAAACGGGAGCTGGGTGTGAGCTGTGTACTGGGAGGCAGAGGTTTTTTTTTCGCTAAAGTGTAGTGAGCTGTGTACTGGGAGGGAACAAAAATTTTTATTTGGGAGGGAAACAAAAATAATTCGCTAAGTGTAGTGGGATGTTTTTTAATGGCGCCAATGTCGCAAAATAATAAAAAGTTTTCCCGCAAAAATATTTCACTTTTCCTGACATTTTATATCAAAATTAATTTTTAAAATAAAATATTTAGTGACGTTTATTATAAAACGTCATTGATTCTATATCTTTACTGACAAAAAAATTATATTTCGTCAGTAAATATTTAAAAATATATATATTGTGTCTGCCAAAATATATAGTGACGTTATTTAATATAACGTCGCAAATTGTTATATTTAGCGACGTTTAAAGCGTCGTTAAAATTTTCGCAAGTTATTGGTAGTTGGGTGGTATTTTTTGCTTCCACAATGTTAAAGCAAATCCCTCATTCTCATAACTCAAAGATAAGTTGTTAAATTGTTAATAGCAACCAAAAAGGTAAAAGATGAGTGTAACCACACTCACAATACTAATATGGGATTTGGGGCTTAAACCAATTTGTTATTATAAAAAAACTTCAATTAATTGAAGAAATACACTCTTAATTAGCTGGCTAAAGGGGACAACTGGTCGATCCATGATGTTTTGTTTGTGAGGAGTGACCGCCTCTTGTTGATTTTATCTTGTAGATAAATCGGATTACTATATCAAATTTGTAAAAAAAAAAAAAAAAAAAAAAAAAAGAATCCTTCTATCCAATTCAAAATGGTAAGAAATTCAGTAAAACATATTTTTATAATTTCTCTATAACTTATTAATGAAAAACAAACAAAACTGCATAAAACTATTATTAAAAACTAAATAGTAAAAACTAGTAAGGAGCTATTAAAAAAAAATGTGTCTCTAAGGAGCTATTAAAAAAAAATGTATGTTATTTTGCAGAGGCAATTAGTGCTTGGGCTTCTGCTGGAGTTGGAAGTGCTGGAATGGCTCCTTTCTGAGTTGTGCAAAGTGCTCCACATGCATTTGCAAACTTCAATGCTTCTTTCAACTTCCCTTCATCCTACATTCACCCATATTAACAAACAAATACATTAGTTGTGGGGTTCAAATTCCACCAAAAATCAAAAAATGTTTCTTCCACCCTTCTTTAAAATAGGAAGCTAAGAGTGAAGAGTTAGATTCAAACTTATATAATTCTTCCGTATTAGATTCATAATGGTCGATTTATTAAGTGACGTATTAATGTTATAACCAAAGGACCAAAAATACCATACTATACAATTGAAGAATTTAAATTGAAATACATAAAGCAATCAAACCTGGACAACTGAAGGATCCTTGGCTATGGAAACCAGAAGAGAACCAACAAAGGAATCTCCTGCACCTGTTGTGTCAATTGTCTTCACCTCGAATCCGCCCACACTCCCTTTAAAACTCTGTTTCATTCACAAAAATTATTATTATTATTATTATTATCCACGAAGACATTCCGTATTTATGCTCGAACATACCTTAGTGAAATATCGGCAGCCCTTAGGGCCATCGGTGACGATGAGGAGCTTCAAGTTATCATGCCAGAGTGACATCACAGACTCTTCTTTCGACGGATCTTTCTGCGTTAGGAACTGCACTTCATCGTCGCTAACGTTGATGAAATCCGGCTCCTTCCAGATGCTCATGATGCCGCTTCTCGCCGCCTCCTCCGACGGCCAGAGCGGGAGCCGGACGTTGGGATCGTACGACAGTAGAACGCCGGCGGCCTTGGCCGCCTTCATCGCCGCCATGTGCGCCGACCGGACCGGCTCCGAGATGAGGCTGATGGAGCCGTAGTGGAAGATCTTCGCCGCCTTGATGATCGCCATGTTCAGCTCCGCCTCCTTGAGCAGCATGTCGGCGCTAGGGTTCCGGTAGAACATGAACTCCCGCTCGCCGTTGCTCTTCAGCGTCACGAACGCCAGCGCCGTCCGCGCCTCCTTGTCGAAGCACACGCCGTCGCTGTTCACGCCGTTCTTCTTCAGAATATCCACCAGCATCCGCCCGAACTCGTCGTCGCCGACCTTGCCGATGAACGCCGACGCGCCGCCGAGCTTCGTGATCGCGCACGCCACATTTGCCGGCGCGCCGCCCGGAGCTTTCAGAAACCCCTTAGATTCCGCCAGCGACACTCCCGCCGTGTCCGCCACGAAATCGATCAACATTTCCCCGAAACACACAATGCTTGAGCTCGCCATCGCAGAAATCAATCAATTAAGGTCAGTTTCTTCAAGCTAAATCGCTGTTATATTTAACAATTGAAGGTGAATTATTGATGAGATTAATTCTGAGAATATATAGAGGAAGAAGGATAGGATTAGCGTACAAACGTAGGAGTTTGTCGTTATCTGGAAGACCGTTTCTTTCTGGATTTGTTAATTAATCCTATCCAACTTGCATGCAACTGCTTGTTGACTGCAATTTTCAGTTCAAATGTTAAGCTAAAAAAAAAAAAAAAAAATCCATTTATCCATCCCCTAATCTATTCCTCTTCCGAGTTTATCTCTATTAAGATGTATTTGAGTCAGTTTATGATTTCTTATTCCAGTCATTTTATAACTCTTTTTTGATATATATTCTCATTGTCGGTAGTCTTTGTGACAAGATTAGTCAATACAATTCATTTCGTTCTCATCATCCTATCAATTATATAATTAGTTGGATAACTACAAAATTTTTAAAGTTGATTAAACTTTGTGTGGGTACTATTTATTGATTATTTTTTTATTTGAGTTGATCCATTATAGATAATTTAGATTGGTTTGACAAATTATATTGTGGATCATTATCCACATAACAATGTGAATTACGTATAATTACTTTATACTAAAAATACATTTTAATGTCCTGAAGGTTTATTTTAGATATTCTATCAAAAAAATAATTTTCAGTCATTAAAAATGAAATATTTAATCTTAAAATTTGTGAACCTATATGCGAGTGATTTGTCTTACAAATTACAATGTGGATCATAATTAACGGTACAAAGCAAATTATGCCATGGCAATGGTCCATATTGCAATGCGATTTATTGATAAATAATATTTTTTTAGTATAATGTAATATATTGAACCTTCAATACATTAAAAATAAACTTATATTAGTATATCAAAAATGAATTTTATCTCAATTGTACACCTATGGACCATACTGTACTCCACGGTATAATGATTGGACTGGTTTCACCTCGTAGGTTTTTTGTGGCAAATTATACTATGAATCATGATTCATATTGTAATATGGATCATGGATAAATGTTAATTTTTAATTTAATATATTGAAGGTTCATTTTTTGTGTATTGGAAGTTCATTATTTGGTAGTATATTAAATAAGAGTAAATTACACTTTTGGTCCTAAGACTATTGGGGTCTTGTTAATTTCAATCCACGACTTTCAAAACTAACAATTGAGTACCCTAACTATTCAATTTTTCTCAATTTCAGTCCTTCCGACCAAATTACCGGTAAAAACTAGCCGGAAATTTTTTAAAGGTAAACTGATGAGGGAAAAATTGTCTTTTTACATCTATTTATCTTTTCCTCCCCTTTCACCTTCCGTGACCTCTTGCCGGGGCTTTCTCCTTCATTACCGCCGGTGCTTTCTCCTTCATTACCGCCAAGCTACCAGTACTCCTCCATGGAAATCATGCTTCAAGAACAATAATATTATGGGATGGGATTATTAGAATTACATAGCATAGCATTCATATTTCCAACCAATCAATTGATGGGATACAAGAAAACGTGTGGATTATTGGAGGATGTTGGACATGAGATTTAACAGTGACCAACTACTGTGAAATTAAATACAATGAATCTCCATCTCAATCCCATTATTGTCTTTTTTGTCTTAGTTAATTTGTCGTCGGCTCTAAGAGAGAAGATCGAAATGGGCTCCTCGACGGCGGTGGACGGTGGGTCGGATGTTTCATTTTCTTGCCTTTACCGTGCGATTTCTTCTAGTTTGAAAAGGCTCAGCTCCTCGACTCCATGGAAAAGGCTCAGCTCCTCGACTCCATGGAAAAGGCTCTTGGACGGTGGGTCGGTCGTTGGGTTTTGGGGCGGCAGACGGCTGGCGGTGCCAACGTAACTTACCAATTGTTGTGTCGGAGAAGGAAGAGAGGAATAGATGTAAAAAGACAACTTTACCCTCATTAGTTTAGCCTTTAAAAATTTTCGGCTACTTTTCACCGGTAATTTGACCGGAAGGACTGAAATTGAGAAAAATTAAATAGTTAAGGTACTCAATTGTTAATTTTGAAAGTCATGGATTGAAATTAACAAGACATCAATAGTCTTAGGACCAAAAGTGTAATTTACTCTATTAAATAATGAACCTTCAGTACACAAAAAATAAGCATTCAAAAATTGAACGTTCAATGTATTAAAAATGAACTTTTAGTATTGACGGTAAATATATATGTTACCGAAAATGTATTTGGAAAGCAGTAATGAATAGAGTAATAATAATGCTATGTGTTTTGAGTACAAGAATCAAAGCTTGTCCCTCCTACTTCTTACATGAGCTCAACTTTTATAATGGGCACTAACGACCTCCTAATAAGTGCAACGACTCCCTTCCATAAGTGTCAAGGCTCCTCAGTGATTGTTGTGCACTCTCATTCTCTTTGATGAGCCGGTGTCCTACTAAGTGCATTATATTGGACTCCTGCTTTGCACTCTCATTCTCTCTGATGAAGCGGTGTCCTACTAAGTGCATTGAGGCAGTGTCCTACTAAGTGTATTGGACTCATGCTTCACTCTTGACCGTTACCAATTAACGTCAGTGATTGTTTTGATGAGGCGGTGTCCAATGACTAATCCAATTATCCCGTCAAGTATATTAAAATTAAATATTATATCATTGGCTCATCATAGTCCATTATATTGTATAATAATTAATCTTTTGTTGGGTAGGACTAAAATAATCCTTCTTTATTCTTTTTTTTTTTTTTAGTACTGTTGATTTAGGCTCAATCTCATAACCAGGAGAGTCATTGCCATATGAGCACAAGGTGCTTGACAAATATTGGCCAATAATTCCAAGTATTATAAAAAGAGATTTTATATGCATAACTGTTACAAAGAAAGAAAAGGGTACATGCATGCAATCTCACTCACAAATCACAAATGGTTTAATAATGCTGCAGAATTTTCATGCACTACTGCAGGCAATGGCGGTATAGACTGCTCATGCCTGAAAACATTGAACGGATCAATCATTGTTTTGGCTCTAACCAATCTATCATAGTTCTTCAAGAAGTACTTCTCTCCCCAACCTCTGCTCTTCTCCACCACGTCATCATCATCCATTATGTTTTCGAGGATTCCGAGGTCGAAATCGATGTAGTTAACGTAAGCCGCTCTGGGAGAACTGGAAACATACGGCGTCATTTCCTCGTAAAATCCTCTTATCCACTCCATCAACTTCTCGGATTTGCGCCTGTCATCGTCTTCTTCGCGCCACTCCACTAGATACTGTATGCTGAAAAGATTCCCTTTCCGGTGCGGGAAAGCTATGGCGTCGCTGCTTATCCGGTCCATTGCGCCGCCGTACGGGTCCAGAATGACGTAGCCTTTGGGCTCGTTTTCCAGGGCATCCACGGCGGCGTGGAGTCCGGCGAGTGGTATCGGGGCTTTCACGTAGTCGGATTTGGCTTTGAAGTATAGTTTTTCGACGCCGGAGTGGCGGTTTGTGAGGTCGGAAATGGTGAAATTGTCGCCGGAGCCGGAGAAGAAGAGGATGGAGTCAATCCACGTCATTTCCCGGCAATCTTGTTCCCGGATGGTTAGTTCTGGGAAGGATTGGTTTAAGATTGACAGGGCGGCGGTTGTGGGACCCAGGAAGAAGCCTTTGAACGTGGCGGATATTCCGGGGGAGTTGTTATTTTCCGGTAAGGCTGCTCCGATAAACGCGGAGAGGTAGAAATCGTCGGTTTGTTTTGGCGCGACGTGCTGCCATTGGTTGATTAGGTTTGAGACGGATTGCTTGGTGCCGGGGCGGGAGACGATGAAGCATGTAACGGTTTTGGGGACCGGTAATAACTGTATTTTCCAGGCGTATATGATTCCCCAGTTTCCGCCGCCGCCGCCGCGGATGGCCCAAAAAGTTTCCTCCCCCATGGCTTTACGGTCTAGCGTTTCGCCGTCGGCGGTTATTAGGACGGCGTCGAGGACGTTGTCGGCGGCGAGGCCGTACTTTCTCGACAGCAGGCCGAATCCGCCGCCGGCGATGTGGCCGCTGGCCCCGACGGTGGGGCAGGAGCCGGCGGAGAAAGCGTGGGCGGCGCTGGCGGCGGAAATGGCGTGGTACGTTTGGCCCAGCGTCGCGCCGCCTTCCACCCACGCTGTTCCGGAGTCCACGTCGACCGAAACGCCGTCGAGCTTCGCCATATCAATGATCACAAAAGGATTCCCACCGGCCGCCGCCGCCGTGAAAGAAGTCCCTTCGTAGCTGTGCCCGCCGCACCTCACTCTGATCTCCCAGGATCCCTTCCGGCAGCACACGACGCTGCTGACGAGCTCCTCCTTGCTCTCCGGCGTGATGATCGCCGCCGGCTTTCGGCTTGATGATGCTGCATATCGGAGATTATGCGCTGACGACCTGAGCAGCTCGAAGTATCCACCGCCGCCGCCGTCACTCTCCGGGCACAGAACAAAGCTCTTGACACCACCGTCAACCAAACAAGCCCCGATATCCTCAAAACCTGCATCTTCTTTCCCGCAAACTACCCGCCGAGAAAACATGATTGCAGACAAAAGAAGGCTGGCAACTATTGAAACAGCAGAACAAAGATGCACAATATATGTACTAGGAAGAAAAGATTCATGGGAAACTCCAACCAGTTGATAAGACTGATTATTTAATAATTATAATATAATTTTTTTTTTGAAAAGAAGATAACCCATTAAACTAAATCCATAAACAGAACATTACAAAGAAAGATTAGAGATTTAGAAAACTACTTCAAATAATCAGATATAGAAACAGACTGTCTAGCAACAGTGTGGGCAGTCATGTTCGCTAATAGACAAGCAAAAGATAAAAACATATGAAAATATTCACTCAATGAATTTTTAATATCTCCTAAAATCAAATGAAAAGAAGACTCTCCTCTTCTTTAAAACGTTAGTTTGACTCGATCATATCAGACATGAGTATGTTAAATTATATAGATTTATTTCATTGTGATTCTTTGTTGCTTCACAAATTTGAGTTTGTAGTGGTTAGATAATATGTTAAAATTAACTTAGGGTACACTACTGAAAACAGATAATGACTGTAAATTTCTCTAAAGAAGATTCATCGGAGATACCTAGGAAATCAAAGCTCTAAACTAAAATAATGTTGGCAGTAGTGAATGAGAGACAGATGGAGGGATGAAGGCGAGTGAGTTGAAGCGCCGCCGGCCATGGCATATATTATATATACTACGGTCTTGTCTTGTTCATTTGGAGTCCTGGAATGGCCTGTAATCCATGAAAGATGGGACAAATCTGCGGACAAACCTTCGTGAAATATGAGGGAAGAAACAGCGGTCCTATGAAGGCATTCGGTGGTTTAATATAATATATAATTTCTATGCATGGAATCTGATATTCTTCTGCAAATAAGCAGACAATCATGAAGTTTAAAGAAAGTAATAACACCATATATAGTATGTACTCCGTACTAGATAAGATAAAGATGTCCGAAATGATAATTAAGTTGAATATATCGCCGTCTTGCATGCCGATCGATGCTGACATTCCACTAGTTCCCTGCACGTAATATAGACATATATATGCAACAACATAACGTTATACATATCATTAAACTTTTATAAGAATCTCATCATCATCTCTCATGCATCTTTCTTATATAACTTGAAAGCACAACCTTACCTACCTTTCCAAAAAATTTAAAATACTGCAATGGTTATGTAGGTTTTGATGATCCGTTAAACAAAGTTCCCCATTCAAATCTTGTAAATAGATCAAAGTAATATGTACTAAGAAAGTTTTTATAAAAGTGATATAGTAATAGTTTAACTACGAATTAATAAGAATTATATTATAAATATAAATAAATGTGCAATGTCATTATATATTCAACATTTTTTTTTGAAAGGTTAAACTTAATTCATTGATTCAACGGTCAAACAGTCAACAAGAAAAGGGGGTGGGAAATCAACCCATTCCCCGCAACCTGACTCAGAAACGGCCTCCCTAGGAACAAGATGGGCAGCACGATTCGCAGATCGCTTTACAGAATAGAACACTACATTACTAAGCATAGTAGTAACCATTTTTATATCATCAACCAAACTACCAAACGATGAATTAAAAGATGTAGCATGAATAGCATGAAAAACAACTTGTGAATCAGTCTCAACATCCACCTCTCCCAAGCCCAAGTCCTTGAGCCAACTTAGAGCCTTCTGGATAGCATAAGCCTCTGCTTCGTTAACATTGAAACACCCCCTCACATTAAGACCTTTAGCAGCAAGAAATCTCCCCTCCTCATTCCGGAGTACCCAACCCATTCCCATACAATTATTAGCATAATCAAAGGCTGCGTCTGTATTCACCTTCACTCTGCCCGGAGATGGTTTCGTCCACTGGACATTAGAACCCGTGTTAGGTAGCGAATGAAAGACATGCGCTGACTCCTTAGCATCCTTCCAGCTGTACCAATAAGATAGAGTCAGATGTAGCACCGTATCCAAAACAAAGGAAATGCCTTTCCAGACACAGTCATTTCTACTATTCCATAGACCCCAACACACCATTACAAACTTACAGAGGAGCTCATGATCAAAAGCTTTCATGCATGCAGCAACCCAATCAGCAATATTCCCATCCTCTCATGAGCCACCACTGGTACCCCAACTTTACTCCACATAGCATTGACCGTGGGGCACTGCACAAACAAGTGATATGCAGACTCAGAAACAATACCGCACATATGACACATCACCATGCAATGCACGTGTTTAGTGTTCAAAGCATCCCTGGTTGGAAGATATGAAGAAACCAACTGCCAACAAAACACCTTTACCTTGGGCGGTATTTCTAAACTCCAGATCGAACTCCAGGGCCGTTGCGTATTAAATTCTCCCTGCAATAGCCTATAACAAGACTTCACAGTATACATGCCCTTGGAATCCCAGTGCCATACCCATGAGTCCTGCCGCGGCCGCACACTAATTGGTATTGAGAGTATTCTCCTTACATCTGCAGCATCAAAAATATCAGTTATACACTCAACATCCCATGCATTACCTGACTCATTTAAAAGAGATGAAACGGGCGCATTATATATTCAACATTAGTCATTGAAAAAGTAAAAAATAGAGCAACTAGGTTGAGTGAAAAATAATTTAATACAACTCTGTATTGATTGAACAATAGATTGTAAAGTAGTACTTAATTCAACTAGGGATGAAAATTAGTCAAGCTAGGTTGGATCTAGTGTGGCCTGAGTCTGGTTTAAAAGGCGAGTAGTAATAGGCTCCTATTTAGGACCTTGACATGTCCACACCCTACATCTAACTAAGTAAAGAAGTCTAGATAGTCATGATTAGCTTATTCATCTTTTTTATTTTAATTTATTTATTTGAAAAAATATTGTCAAGTCAGTATTTTTACCAGTCACATTTGGATAACCAACTAATTGATTTAACTGCATCAAATTTTAAACTTCAAAATCTAATTACGTTTTTCGTATATATAACTCTAGGTCTATTTGACTCATTTTCATTTTTCCTATATTGTGGGTGGGTATTTTGATTAGAAAACTATAGGGGTGATCTTTTCATTTATATAAAGTAGCAAGGTGGTTAGTGCAATTAACAACAAAAAAAAATATAGTATTAGAAAAATCCTGTGTGTTCTTCGTGACTTGCTGACTTGCGAGAGACTGCCGGAGAGACGATGAACGGCGGAGACGAAGAAGAGAAGGGTTTGCTGTGGAAGCTACCGGCGATCAATTCCAAGGAATTAGGAAAGCTTGGGCCCGGTTTTGGAGTCGGTATCGGCTGCGGATTCGGGTTCGGGGTCGGTCTCATTGGAGGTCTAAAATCTTCTTCATTTTCCCTTTAATTTCTGAAGAATCGAAAATAGGTTTTCCTGAAATTTTTAGCATCAATTTTGTAACGTTAGCGTATTTACTTGTTCCTGAATTTCCTTTGGTTGTTGAAGGCACGGGATTTGGTCCGGGGATTCCTGGGTTGCAGCTCGGTTTTGGATTGGGAGCCGGCTGCGGTGTTGGATTAGGGTTCGGGTATGCTGTTGGAAGGGGAATCGCTTATGACGACAGTCGCAGATACTCCAACGTCGGCCGGTTTTTTGACCGCAATGCCAATTTTCCTACTCAGTAAGTTTCCCTGCCGGAGCTTATAGTTCTCTGTATTTCAGCACTCTATACTTCTAATGGAGTACTATGCATTAATGTTTATTTTATTTTATTATTAAACCAATCTAGGTTGTACATAGTTAACCGGTTCAGATCAAGAAGGCCAACAGGCTATGCCCTTTGGGAATTGAACTTGTATCCTTGTGGTTACGAGTCAACAGCCTGACCAACATGATTGCGGTTGTCTCATGTGTGAAGAATTTGAATTCTGAAAAATATGTCTGGATTACGTTCTGAAAATCGAGATGAGAGAAGGTTAAGTAAAGGCTTGGATTTGATAAGCAGACTAATGACATAATTGAGTTACTTCATCATGATTAACAATCTCACCTTCGGTTAGCCTTATACTACTAGTTGGTATTTAAGGCGTGCTGAACTGAATTGGTTAAGTGAGTAAATGTTTTGTCAAAAGAAAAGAGTTTTATGACAGGAAGGAAAACATACTCTGATTAAATCATAAGATTAGAAAATGAAGAGTTATGGTTCCCTATTTTCAGCTGGCTAATCAGCATCCTGCTTTCTGGCCTCGTCACCTCCCTAGAGCATAACCTTAGCCTGCTAGAATTGTCAATTTGCCATGCAAAGAACATAAAATTTTTCATAATACACTGGGAAAATTTTAATATTTCACTGTGATCAAATTGGATTATTGGGTCATTCTAATTTGAGTGGAGAACTAGAAAAACCTAGCTTCATTGATTGGCCATCCTTACTACCTGTGGTGTGTCAATTATTTAAGGTTCTGTTTACTTGCAATTTTATCTCTGGTTGGTGTGTGTTTTCATCGTATAATATGGGTTTCAACCATGACTCTAATGTCAATACTGTCCAGTGGCAAACTTTTGAAGGTGCTATCAAATACTACATACAAGTTTATATTTTTAGAATAATGCTACCGTTTGATGTTTAACTATTATTGGCATTGACTCCTTGTTACTCAAAATGTTCTGAATTATATAACTGACCACCATAAACCTATGCCATTTGGCTTGAATTTGATTTCGTATGAGTATCAATGGGTTAAAGGAGGGGGGGTGACCTTTGTACTTTAGTGTGAAACTATCGACTAGATGAAAGAATAGTATCTTATTATTATTATTATTTTTAAATTTTTAAATTATAAGTTGAAATTGGTGACTATTGGCTTTTTTGGTTTGAGCCGGTCAGCTATTGGCAACCTAGGTTGGTTTACCTCTTTATGGTTCTTTGCCGGCTAGGGTCACAAGGCGGGGTTTACCCAATGTACACCCTCGGGTAGTGCCTGTGGGTTTTTCTTGTCACTTAAAAAAATGGTGTCTTTCTTTTGTATTTAACATTTGTTATATTTTTCACTGCTTTATGGAGTTATTGCGGATTAACCTTAGTTCAAATAGTGATATAATCTTTGAAGACTGTTTTGTGATTCACAAAATAGAACATTAAACGAAAAATCATAATTTCTGCTGCATGTTTTAAGCTGTGAAAGTGTGAAGTATAGATCTCTGACATATTTATTAAGAAGCAATGCTTACTGATGACAGGAACGAGATTGATACCCTCATTGATGATCTCGTTGGAAACACCAAGAAGCTAATCAGGGCAACTTCTCGCGAGGTGGACAAATGGAGGAGGGGACGGTAGTAGCAGAATCCTAAACATAGAAATCTACCATTCTAGATTCCTTGTAATTTTCTAGCTATGTCGTAGATCTTCCATATTAAAAAAAAAAAATGCTTCGATTGTATATTACTATGACAAATCTTATGATATGATGCTTTCTAAGATGTGAATATGCTTAGATTATGGCACTTGTAATGGTTTTCACCATGTAAGTATTTGACCACTTAATGTGAATTTCTTCAAGGAGGCAATTCTCTCTAAAGCCTCAATTAGTGACCTTTTTTTGTTTGAGTGGTAGAAACTTGTGGTGTATGGAAACTCTTAAAGGTGAAAAACGAAAATTTTCATAAAATGTTAAGCATTATTTCTGTGGTTTTTTTTTTTTTTTTTTTTTTTTTTAACCTAGGTAAAGACCAGGAAATTACAATATGGTAGAATTATGAGGGGAGAAATAGAGATAATATTACAGCAAGGATGAACAGATAAGCAAGATTTTGGTGGATAGGAAAACGTATATTCTCAAATGAGGATAGGCCATGTTATCCATCTCTTCCCCAGAAATCCACAAGATTCAGGTTCCCAGCCACATCAGCACCATCATCTGCCACCTCAGCAACTCACCCAATCAGAGAGCTGCTACAGATTGCATGTACTGCTCTCCACCAATCAGGAAGATCCTACGTGGGAAGTCCACATCCACCAAAATGCCATGATTCTCAGTTAAAGACTCTTGTCTGGTTTGTTTCCAGCTCTCACCTCCACCTCCATTTCCCCCTCTGCATTCTAGTACTCTCACCTTTCAGAACCACCAGAATTATGGCTTCCCTTGCTGCCTCCACGGCGGCCGCCTCCCTCAGCAAGTCGGAGATGCTCGGCAACCCTCTCAAATTCAGCAATGCACCGCGGTCTGCCCCGGCCCCCTCCACCCCTTCCACCTTCAAGACTCTTGCCCTCTTCAAGAAGAAGGCTCCTCCAGCCAAGGCCAAGCCTGCTGCTGTTTCCCCTGTAGACGACGAGCTCGCCAAGTGGTATGGTGAGTCATTCTCTCTTGTTGTGTAACCATCATAATTAATAAAAGAATAGCTTTGCTCCCGTGGATATAGACACATTGCTGAACCACGTAAATCTTGTTTTCTTTACTTTCTGTCATTGTTATTGATTTAGAGGCACTATCCAGTGCGTAAGACACCACTACAAGAATCAATATGTGAACTTCTTGGTTTCAGGGCCTGACAGAAGAATCTTCTTGCCTGATGGGCTCTTGGACAGATCAGAAATCCCGGAGTACTTGACCGGTGAAGTTCCCGGAGAGTAAGTCGTTTTCATATCTCGATTTCCATCTTCCTGGCTCTCTTCCTGAGATCTTGATCCTTATGTTTCAACAATTTGCTGCAGTTATGGTTATGACCCCTTTGGCCTTAGCAAGAAACCAGAAGACTTTGCCAAGTAAGCCTGCTGTTCATCACCTTCTACTTTTGTTGAATTTGTTCAGAAAATTGTGTGACTAAGAACTGGATGAAATGTTTTGATGGCTGCAGATATCAAGCATACGAGCTTATCCACGCTCGGTGGGCGATGCTTGGCGCCGCTGGCTTCATCATCCCAGAAGCCTTCAACAAATTCGGAGCTAACTGTGGCCCTGAAGCTGTTTGGTTCAAGGTATATCTACCTTTAGCCTCCCCTCCCTCCCGGGAGCATATAATATATAAAACATAAACGTGTAGTCCCGTTATCTGGTTAAACTTTTAGTTGAGATGGAACACATCATCTCATATATCTGTTGTTTATTTGCAGACTGGCGCTCTGCTCCTTGATGGAAACACATTGAATTACTTTGGCAAGAACATCCCCATTAACCTAGTTGTTGCTGTCGTTGCTGAGGTTGTCCTTCTCGGTGGCGCTGAATACTACAGAATCATCAATGGCTTGGTACAATACTGGTCTCACTATCAGTTTAAACTTTTAGTTGAGGCGGGGTTTTCTTTAACTTCTTTGAGTACTAAAAAAACGTGATGGTTTGGTTTACCTGATTTACAGGACCTAGAGGACAAGCTCCACCCCGGGGGACCTTTCGACCCTCTAGGGCTGGCGGACGATCCAGACCAGGCGGCGATCTTGAAGGTGAAGGAGATCAAGAATGGGAGATTGGCCATGTTCTCCATGCTGGGATTCTTCATCCAAGCTTATGTGACAGGGCAGGGTCCAGTTGAGAACCTTGCAGCTCACTTGAGTGACCCTTTTGGCAACAATTTGCTCACTGTCATTTCTGGAGGTGCTGAGAGGACTCCTACCCTGTAATTTTAAGTCCTTTTTTTCTCTGATGCTTACATTTGTACAATTTCAAGCTACATTTCGAGGCAGCTCAGAATCGACTGTGTTTTAAGATCGAATTTCACCCGGTCTATAGTAATGATGATCTTGATTGTTCGTTATGTTGTGATGGATCTCATCTTATTTTGAATAAATACTTAACAAACTCGAAAATAATGTTCATCCATTAAATATAAACAATTAAAAAAAAAAAAAAAAACAATGGTGTTAGAGCATCTCCATCTATGGATTTTGGAGTGATTTTTGAGAAAGCAAGGATGATGTTGAGGAGAAAGAAGAAATGGAGTTCTTGTTAGGAGTGGTTTTTGAGCAAATTATATCGTGTGGACTTTGGTCCAATACATAGAATTTGAATTTATAATGCACATAATACACGATATAATAAACATGAATTTTGTGCATTATGAACATGAATTCTATGTATTATGTTAAGTGTTTATTTGTTATCAGCTTTATAATACACAGAATTCATGTTCATAATACACAAAATTCATGTTCATAATATCATGTTTATGTGTGTGTATTATGAACATGAATTATGTGTATTATAAAGTCAAATTCTGTGTATTGGACCAGGGTCCACACTGCACTGTGGACCTTGGTCCACGATATAACGATTGTGGTTTTTGGTCTGAAAATATGGGCCCGCATGGAGAAGAAGCTGTCGTTATATCGTGGACCGCGGTGCAAACAGTGCTATTTCTTTAAGTAAAGAAATGGCGCGCCGTTAGTGTTAACGGAACGCACATTTTTTTGTATGTTAATTACCAATTGACACTACAATATATCTAATCCGACACTGTCTCACATATTATTTTATATTATCAAATGAAACAGCAGTTATATCAAAATGATATTATAGTTGTGGTGAAATGAAACTACAATGTATATAAAATGAAACTGAATAACATTTCACATATTTGAGTGTATATTGTACAATAAATCTGTAATTATATCAAAATGATAATGTAGTTGTGTTTTAATAAAACTATAGTTTATATACAATAAAATTAAATAACATTTTCACATATTTGAGTCTATAAATATCGAATGAAACTGTAGTTATATTGAAATGAAACTGTAATTGTGTTGAACTGAAACTACAGTGTATACAAAATGAAACTGAATAACAGAGTTACTTTTTGCGGAAGGGTGCGGAACAGCGGGAAGCGGATGCCGTTTCTTTTCATTAATCAAAACGACGTCGTTTTGATGCGCGGTGCACGATATAATTTGCTGAGAAGAAGGGGCCCCCGAGTCGCACGTAGCGTAACTTGCTCGTAGCGAAGACACAATTTTATTATTTTATATCGTCATCACATTTTCAAAAGACAGAGTGTTAGACTTCGTTATCGACCTCCGTCCAATAGTTACACATAAACAGATTTTTCTCGATACATTCTTAAATAATGATTATAATTTTCCTATCACCCAAAAAAAAAAAAAAAAAAAAAAAAAAAATTGAACCAAGCTGTCTTTAGCGGCTGCTACCAAATCTGTATTCCCACCACTACCAATCTGCCATGGCCACGCATCCCACCATTGCCGGCATCATGCATTACAAACACCATTGTCACCATCCAATAAGACGGGTTTTTCTCGTAGAGACAATTATTTTCATTATATAACCGGGGTTTTCTAATTTTTTATTGAATTATATCTTAGACGTCATGAATTCATTTTCAAGTCTATATATAAACAGGTATGTCTAGAATCTAAAATTAAGACTAAATTGTACTGTTAAGAGTCACATCGATAAAATAAGAGAGGATATATAAATTTATAAAGCTAATTGATTGAATTCAATCTTTTAGTATGGTTTCTTGATCCAATCTTAATTTCTAACAATAATTTCTGAACACAAAAAATTTGACTCCAATGTTCATAGCAGAAATCAAATTCGAACAAACCAATGACATGTGCGTCACTGCGTGCGTGGGATATTCTCAGATGTTTGATTGTTTATGGGTGATAACATTCCATTAAACGTATAGATACAACCATTATATTATTATATTGGCAATGGTTGCCCAGTCTTTATCCCTCAAATCTGCAGAATGCTAAGCTCATCATATATAATCCCCAGCCCAGTAAAAGAGACTACATAATATTCCAACAGAAACACAGAAAAATGGAGCCATCAGCTGCTAATGATGAAACCCATGAGATTGTGATAGCTGGAGGGGGCCTCTGTGGCCTTGCCACTGCCTTGGCTCTTCACAGGTAGGCTACTAATGGTGGTTTCTTAAATTTCGATTTCTAATTTGAATGTACCTACAGTGACTATCCGAGTGTGCATGTCCACTGAGTGAATTTCGTCCTATTATCCTAACCGACAAAAGATCACAAAGAGAAGTGAACCAGCCTAAGTTGTCTATAGGCTAATAGACCGCTCCCAAGAAAAGTTGAATTTAGAATCATGTGATTATAAGTCTGAGCAATTTGGTTGGGACAGTTATTGTTAATTCTAACATGTCATTTGGGTTAGTGTGGTATTTAATTAGTTGATTGTTGTGATGATTGTGCAAGCAGGAAAGGATTGAAAAGTTTGGTTCTTGAAAGAGCAGACTCACTAAGAGTGGAAGGTGGAGGCCTTTGCATCTTGCCTAATGGGTGGAGGGCTCTTGACCAGCTTGGGGTGTCTCACCATCTTAGGAATTTGGGCTTTCAACTTGACAAGTATAACACTCACTTCTTACTTTCTTTATTGCCCCTACTAGAGCTACATGTTCTCATTATTTAATTATTACCCAAAAATATGCATTGTATTATAGTTCACACTAAAAATACCATATGCACAGGACTCGATCAAAAAGGTATTTAACAATAATCGAACTCATAATATTTTAATATAAGAGTAATATTCTAACCATTCAGCCACATTTTTTTTCTAATAATTTTACAAGAATCATACATTTCTCCATGTACATTTTCCATCTAAGCTCACCTCCCAATTTTTTTTTTCCTTAGGGGTTGGGACTTGGGGCTTGACAAGGGTACACAACAAGCCATGCCAGCTTTGTAAGTTCCACAACTGTATCTTTACTTTCTTCTTTTATAAAGTGAATATATCCGACGCGAAGAATTTTCAAAATAAAATTTGATCATAATTCGACTCTGAATTAGCCAAAATTTAATATGACTATCGAATACCAAAACAGTGGAAAAGGAGAGGCTCGTTGCTTGAAAAGGAGTGACCTTATTACAACAATTGCCGAGGCTTTGCCGGTTGGAACGCTTCGCTTTGGTTGCCAAATTGTTTCTGTCCAAACAGACCCTCTCACTAAATTTCCACGCATCCAACTCTCCAATGGAAAGTACATAGGCACCAAGGTACATTTCTACCTTCATTAATTCAAAAATTTTCTGCTAAAAAGGATGATGGAGTGGATAAAACATGATTCTCGTATCATAGTCTTTCTAATGCAGTTTAACTTTTTTGTATGATTTATAGACTATTACATAAGAGCGGGAATGCATACCTTCAATTGCGAGTTTTCCTCGTCATCTAAAAAAAATCAATTGTGTCTCCTTAATTGTGTCTATTGTTTTTTGTTTTTTTTTTTGTTTTTTTTGTTTTTCAAATTTTTGGGGAAGCTAGTAAGTCGTAACCATTATTCAAAGGGACACTCTAAACGAAATCCACCTTGTGATCCTAGTTGTCAAATGATCACATAAACCAGTTTAAGTACCTATAATTGACGGTCTCAAATCATGGTTACCAATTGAAGTGTTGGTAGTGCATATTATGGCTCTGTTTGGCAACGCTAAGCTAGGAGCTTATAGCTTATTTTAAGCTACTAATAAGCTATAAGCTCTGTTTGGTAATGTTCCCAAAATAAGCTCCTAGCTTAAAATAAGAGCTTATTTTAGAACGCTACTTTAGGTAGCTTTTCAAAATAAGCTACTAGCTTCCTAACTTTTTTTCCATCTTTACCCTTATTATTTTAAAGTAATGACATATTTTAACCTTATGAATTAAAACCCTTTCTCTTCCCCTATCCTAACTTTCACGTCAATCCTTTCCTTAGTCTTGTTTCCTGCTAAACAATTATGTTGAAACTTTAGCTTATTATTATTATTATTATTACTATTATTATTAATGTTATTTTTAAATTAGCAATATGGCTTCAATCTCAATTTGAACAAGAGCCGCCAACTAATGCTCAAGAAGCATTCAATCGTGCACATTATTCTCTTCGGAGTTGTATTGAGAGATCATTTGAAGTATTGAATAAGAGATAGAAGATACTTGCTAAAATGCTGCAGTTTAGTGAGGAGACCCAAATTGATGTTATTATGGCCACATTTGCACTACATAATTGTATTCGGAAGAATTCACAAGATGACATGATGTTTAATGTGCTTGAGCAGCATCCAGATTACATACCGCCCGATGAACTTCAAGATTCAAGTAGTAATATCTCCATCAACGAAAATTTAAGTCACACCTCTATGGAGATGAAGGAGATTCGCAACAATATTGCTACTTCATTATGCGATGCTAGATCATGATCATGCTAATAGTTTTATTTAAAAAGTGTTTACTTTTTTTGGAAGACGAAATGTTAAATTTTAATATGTAAACAAACTAATTTAAATTTTATGAAGATGTCTTTTTTAGTCTTTTTACATTTATCAGCTTATCAAAAAGCTAATTTTACCAAACACTTTCAATCATAACAGCTAGCTTAACAGCTCTTCAATTTTCAGCTCCGAGCTTATAGCTTTTCAGCTTTCAGCTCCTTTTCAGCTATCAGCTCCTAGCTTATAGCTTTTCAGCTAGGTTTGCCAAACAGAGCCTATATGATAGTGAGGAGGATGGAAACAGGGGAACTTCTCTTAGGAATTTTATCAAACAGTACCTAGGCATATGCACAGTGCTTGCTTGATGTTATTTTTGACTGAAGATACAGAATTACTCTTCAACACTTACTCCTAACAGATATGAAAACCACTTACAGATACTGATTGGGTGCGAGGGATCAAGGTCCATAGTGGCGGACTCCATTGGACTAAAGCCTCCAAGCTCTTTTGGTCTGGGCGCCATTAGAGGCTTAACAATCTATCCACACGGCCATTCTGCTTCACATGAATTGGTGCGGATGACCAAAGGCAAGACTGTTGTAGGGAGAATTCCAGTCAATGATAAGTTGATCTTCTGGTTTGTTGTTTTTCCAGCTCCAATACAGCCAGGTAATCACCATCACCTTCAATAGGCTGATCGGCTCAAATCAGAAAGGCTAATAGGTCACTCTCACCGAAAGTTAAAACTTGAAAATTTCTCTTGCCTGTTCAGATGTCAAGTTTCCACGTGAACCAGAGCTTATTTGGCAGAAAGCGGTAGAGAAGACGAAAGACTTCCCAGCAGAAGTACAAGAAATGATGGAGCGTTGTGCCGTAGAATTATTAACTTTCACGCACCTGAGATACCGCGCACCCTGGGAAATTCTGCTCGGAAAGTTCCACAAAGGCACAATCACGGTCGCGGGAGACGCAATGCACGTAATGGGCCCTTTTCTCGCGCAGGGCGGATCCGCCGGCATCGAAGACGCGGTGGTGCTCGGAAGAAGCCTGGCGAAAATCAAGGACGATCTGAGCAAAAGTGAGAAGTACGAAGAAGTTGCGAGTAAAGTTGGGGAAGCGTTTGATGAGTATGTGAAAGAGAGGAGGATGAGAGTTGCAGGATTGTCGACCCAAACGTACCTTATTGGTGTGTCGTGGGAGGAGAGATCGCCATTGGTGAAGCTTGGTGCTATGATTGCTAGGGCTGTTCTTTTCAGTAACCGTGGTGCTCATATTAACTATGATTGTGGTCGCCTTTGATGTGCACTCAAGGTGTTTGATGTTATGTTTTACCAATATAACGTCGCGGGATGTGTCTTAGTGAGTCGTTGAGATTAACAAGAATACTATTATATTAAGATATTATTTGCAGTTTGTATCATTGAGCTATGCCCCGGGACAATAATACTACTTTCTTTATATCTAGTGTCTTATTTTATCAGTCTTATTTATTATTTATTGGTCAAACTAATTATTTTTTTCTTTCCTTATTTCTATTAGCATTTTTTTATAATTTTTAAATTTGATTTTTTTGGTGCGTTTAATATTACTTTTAATGTAGATTTTAAATATATAAAATTTACATTACATATTAATTTTAACCTTAAGATTATGAAAAATTAAATTGTAAATCACTTCAATCAAGCATGGCTAATGAAACCCGACACATAAATGGCCGGGACGGAGGGAGTAATTTTCATGAATTGCCCAATATATATATATATATATATATATATATATATATATATATATATATATATATATATATATATATATATATATGAGTTTTGCTACATGGACTACTATTTTCTACTCCCTCACTTTTATTCCATGTTGTGGCAAGAGCTGGTTGCTTATTATCTTCATCTTGTGGGTCATAATCTGGTTGTATTATCATTTGTTTTAATTTAATTTAGCCATTAAGTATTGATGATTAGTATTCATTTATATCAAATTAAAGCTTCAAACTATATAAATCACCATGAAGATAATAATTAAGGATGACACATCCTCATCTTTCAAACACACAAAAATTCACAATTTTGCACTTCTACTATGCCTTTATTTTTATATATATATTTTTTTACAATTACTTTCTCGAGAGAAGCCTTACTTTAAGCATATATTTTAAGTTAATGTTAGGACAACTCCAATAAAACTAACAATAATAATCATGTTGGACCTAGTAATACATCTCATATATATGAAATTAATTGTGCAATATCATAAATGTATACAAGCAATAATTCTTTTTAAAGGTAAACATGGTCTCTCTTAGATCGAGCTTAACCACACTTTGATGGCAGCTTTATATATATATATATATATATATATATATATATATATATATATATAAAATGTATAAATCCATATATTAATAGTTAATACAGTAAATAAATAATTAATCAGAAACATGCATGCATGCATGGGGTAATAATTTAATTACTTTCCGTAACCCCAGAAATCCATCTCGCTGCGTAGGGAGAGCGGGTTGATATGGTTCATGGCGGATCCGTTTGCGTCCTCAAACCCGACCCGTGTAGCCTTGGATGACCCGTGGTCGTCTTGACCCATCTGAGAGCTCACAAGCATCCCCCATTCGCTCATGCTTTGCGGCGGCGGCGGTTCGCAGCTGCCGACCTCCAGGCCGGAGTCGCAGGCCGCCGTCGCGGGTTGGTAGCAGAGGTTCTGGTCGCTGCCGCTTTCGCAGTCTCGGGTCGGGTCGGACATGAGCTGTTTCACCATAATGGGGGCTGCGGCGGCGGCGTGTTGGTCGGAGAAGTGGGTGGCGGCGGGTATGAAGTTCTGGGGTTCGAGTTGGTGGTAGTGGTGGGGCAGCGGGATGTGGTGGGAGTAGTTGAATCCGCCGCCGCCGTGGCCGTGGGGCGGTTGGAGAAGGTATGGAGCGGTGTCTCTGAGCGAGAAGCCACCGACGGCGGCGCGGGATTGGTTGGCTGCGGTGGTGTTCAGTTGGTCGGAGATGGCGGAGCCGCTTTCGCTTCCGACTTTGAATAGATTCTTCTTCTTGAAAACCCTACAAACCACCCACCCATCCTCCTGCATGCAATCATATATTCATCTCATTATTACGCAACATAATTATTCAATGAATAAAAGTTTAATTCACACATAGTTAAATCCCAATTTTGGATGACGAGGAAAACTTGCAGTTAGTATATCTAGCTTTTATGTAATAGTATGCAATCACAAAAGAAAGGTAAATTATACTAAAAAAGATGTGTATAAGCTAAAAAATTTACATTACAGATAGGACTCAGGTATTTTTTGCAATGGATACATATGCTTTTGAATTGTGCCGAGTACAATCAGCTCTAAAAACATACATTACTATATCTACTTATCTAGTGAAAAGCACACACATATTCATTGGTATCTTTAAATTTTCACATATATAATTTTTTTTTTTCAAACTCTAGTACCGATTAAAGTTGGAAACTCTTTTTAAAGTCATATTTGAAGAAAAGAAGAACAAAATCAGAAGGAAAAAAAAAAAAAAAAGAATTACATTTATGATAGTAGTAGGGATAGCAAGAAAGATAGGAGGCGGGTAGAGAAAAAAATGCATACTTTTTATATTTGGCATTGGTCAAAGATCAAGAAGCTAGGGTTGGAAGGATCAGTCATCAATTCAAGATTTGACCAAAGAGTAATTATATTAAAGATATAAGAAAGTGCTCATGTGTGTAATTCAATTAGTCAATTAATTTAATTAAAAGACTTTGCTTTACTAATAATTGTAGTGTGTTGGGTTTGTATAGCATCACCGCATACCAAGGGGAAAACAAAGTATGAATTTGGTTTAGTTAAAACACATCTTAAAAAGGTTTTTGGCTTTGTTGAGACACATCCCAAAAAGCCTTTTAGGTTCAAATTTAAAAATATAAGAAACTAAAAAACATAACATCATTTAATTTTCTTTGACTTTGTTACCTTGGAGTTTGATCCAAACCATGAAAATATGGAGGGCTTGCATTAACATCTATCTCTGATTCTCTGCTACTTCATGCATGATTGACGGGAAAAACTAATTTGGTCAGGTCATAAGATGTTCTGAGCAGGTCATAATTGTATGGTAGTATGTGGGATATATTTTTAAATCCGTATTATATATAGACTAATCCCCATTCACATTGAATTGATCCAATTAAGTGCATATAATAACTAAATAGTAACGAGTTCATTCAGTAATCAATGAAACTTTTATTTTTCTGATCATTTTTACTGACTTTATTAGCTTATTTTATGCTAAGAGTAAAAGTTCAGCAAGGGATCCGCCTAAGCTATTGGCCTTCTCGGTTTGAGCTTTCAAATTATGAGTAACCTAAACTAATTTATATCCTTATAGAGTTATGGTCACAAGACGTGATTCACCCAAAGTGCACATTTATGTAATGGTTGCGACTTTCTTGTAAATCAAAGAGAGTAAAAATGCAATATAAAAGAGAAGGTTAAGGATGGAAAATAACTTACATTAGGATTGGCTTGGGGATCATCGGCATCGTCGAGCCTATACTCATGCATGATCCAATCAGTCTTTTGGCCATGGGGAGCTCTGCCTCTATAAAAAACTAGGGTTTTCCTCATCCCAATCTTTTGGAAGCTATTCCTTATGCATTTGTCCCTTCCGGTGGCCTTCCAAAAACCGGCGTTGGTCGCTCGGTTAGTCCGTGACCCCGTCGGATACTTTCTGTCCTTGTGACTGAAGAAGTACCAATCGTTCTGTGGCGTTGACCCAATCTTGCACCTCTCTATTGTCCACATGCATATAGGTTATATGTATAAGTCAATATAAATGTAATCTCAAATTTCATATCATTATTATTGACAAGTCACACTATATGTATATACATGAGTCAATCTTATAATAGAATAGGGGCAAATATTATTGTCAGAAATTCCCTTTTTTTTTTTTTTTAGATGATGAGGGAAAGTGGGAAATTTGCAATTGTTGTAACTATCTAGGTTGATTATAATTGACTGGCTCAAATCAAACAAGTTAATATGTCGCTCTATTGGGAGTCGAACTTGAACCTTTGTGGCTACCATGCCAACAACTTAAACCATGTTTCCTCTACCCAAGAGATTCCGAAAAAATTTTGAAGGATAAAGAAAATAGATTTTTTTTTTTTAAAAAAAAAGAGGGATTCAGAAAATTAAAATTATATATGAGCCATTAATTTTCGTTCACCTAAAAAAAAAGTACACTCTTAACCCTCCAATTCCTCCCAACCAAAAAAAAAAAACACAAAAATATAATACAATAATTCATTACTAATACAATAACTTAATGAAAAAAAGAACTAACTTTTTTTTTTTTTTTTTAATGATGGAAAGCTGAATAATTTGATTAAGAATTCTAAATATATATACCTTGGAGGTCCCAGGGCTCAATCTTATTCAAATCAATCTCTCTGATAACATCCAACTCAAATTTCTGATAAGAAACCTTCCTCTTCAGGTAGTAATGGAGAAGCTCTTCGTCCGTCGGGTGAAACCGGAACCCCGGCGGAACGCCGCCGTTCGACGATGAAGCCATCACCGCCGCCGCCACCACTGCACGAAGATTACAGTCCCCTAGCTTTCTTGTGTGTACAAAGTTTAATTGCTTTCCGAGCCTTAGTATTGTTGAACCTGCGGCGGCGATTATCTCTCTGATGAGATGATTTGATTTCGATCTTCTGCTTCCGCAACTTTCCAATAATAATAATAATAATGGTTTGTGTGTGTGTGTATATATATATGGGGTTGTGGGGGTGAATTGTCAACGAATTTGAGGGTGTTGTGATGAGAGAAAGTTGACGGCCGGTGACGCCGGCGGCGGCACAGCAACCTAGCTTAAAGCTAACGTAAATCCCAAGCTATATAGACGAATTGAACGCATTTGCCATGCATGGCTCTCCCTCACTCGTTGCGCCATCTCTACGCGCCCGCACTTGCTGTCATTGCATATGCCCATCACTAGTGTGTATATAGAATAATTTAAGAGATAATACAAAGTGGGTGTTTGGTAAATAGTTGGTGGCGGATAGTTCTTAGCTGATTGGGTTACGTGTTTGATTAATTGATAATATTGGTTGATTGTAGAAATATGTTTTGGTAAATTAGTTGTTAATTAACTGATTATATGCAAAATGACTTTCTCAAAAAGTTAATCAAAAAAACTGTTTTGAGCAGCTTTTTGAATTTTAGTCATTTGAAGTAATAAACAGTTACAAAAAACTAATTAATCAAATATTTATATTGATTGTTTAACAAAGTCAAACAAACCAAAATTAGCTGATAAGTTAACTATTTTACAAAACAAGGCAAAAATTTTGGGTTTCGTGACACTCATAAAATTAGCGGTTAGCAATGGACAGATTAGAGTTTCCCGGGATGATAGATCCTCCAAAATATGAAAT